CCCGAACGGTCGCGATCACGAAGTGCGATGGATGCAGCTTGGCTACGGCTCATTAATTCCGGTCTGCGACCGGCCTTAGCGGCCCAGCTGCAAAAGCAGAACGCGATAGACGCACACACTGCAACAAGTCTTATGCCGACTCAGGATCTTGTACCTCTTTGCCACACGAGTCCAGTGGGTCGAGTTTAGCCTTTCGACACGGCTTGCGGCGTCCTCAGATCCATATCCAGTTCCCCGCTCTCTTGTGCTGAAAGAAGTAGGTCAGACGGTTCCCAACGAATGAGCACTGCGCAACCCCACGCTCTAGAGCGAGCACGCCGTAATCAACCAGCGACCCAACCTCAAGGCCTCCGTACCCGGATGATGGATCCCTTGCTATGCCTAGACGTGATCCTCTCGACATTTACCAAGGTGTATTGTGACGCAACCACTTTGCACTCGGGCTGCAATACCGCTCGTCTGACAGTGTTACAGCATGCTGACCGGCCAGGACGTAATGCGGGAAGATAGGCTCTATCCAAGGGGTACCGATACTTGCTACTTCCCACCGGAGATTGAATGTGAATATGTACAAGGGCGTTGGTACCGATCCACGAGGCCATACTAGTCTGCCCGATGCACAGCTGACCCGTATCATCATCTATCCCGCGGCTGACACTGTCATGAAGGACAACAAGTCCCGTATGCGTTACGCCACAAGCTTCATTAACACATTAGCGAAGCCACTCACGCGCCAGTCAGCCAACCAACTTTGTGTGACCAAGTTGCACCTTATTATTACACCCCATGCTACCAAAGTATCATGCAGGAGGCTCCATCTATTTGCGCCAAAGACAATGCTTCCGAGGTCGGTAAACCCTCGCTATCTTTTCCAAATACAATACGTCCAACTAGCTCGCCAAGCTCAGGCTCTTCTTTACTTTATTGCCGGGCGAAACTCCTTCAAAGGCAAACGACTTGCAATTCGTCGGCTGCCTAGCGCTCGATTCGCACAACGATGTTCCAGCTTGGACATCTGGCGGTGCTTTCGACGCACGCGGCGAGTCATCGTGCCACCATCATGCAACAACCAACAAAGGCAACCGGCTAACACACTCCACACCTCCTTCCGTGCTCAGAAGCAACTCTGGATTGCCGTTCGAGGGGCCGATTGCAGCTAACCCTCTCAGACAATGCAAACGAACTCTGCGTACAGGACGCACCTGCCGGAACGGATCCCAGGCCGCGCTTGCCCGTCTAGGTGCTGCAGTACATCGCTCAACACATACGGTTCAGCTGTCTTTGGAAAAGCGACGCATCGCTTCCTCACCTCAACGCGAGACATTCTCTGCACCACGTGCATGTCACCGAGCGGATTAGGACACCTTGGCTTGCGCCACTATGTGCAATCACAGTAGTGCGCGCCCTCCGGATCGACCTGTCGAGTTCTCGCTGCGCATCCCAAAGTGACTACTCAGCCTTGTGCAGGGACAAAGGGAAATGGGGCAGAACGCCGCACGCAGCCGTTGACCCAAAGGATCCGTAAGACGTGCAGACAGTCTCACCGGCTCGCACAAGCGGAGTGCCGACCAACTGGATTCTATGCTGATTACGGACACGTCGCGGGGATTGTCCACCGACACGAAGGCTTTTCATGTGCATCATCACCTTCCATCGTTCGTCTCTCACTGCAGCTACTAGTGTTGTGGCATGCTTTCAAAGGGATCACCTTCCCCGACTGCACTGCCTGACAGGTTCGGACTCCACACAGCTTATATCCCTGCCGGCATCCATCTATTCATCATGGCTTCATTGGACGACAACTCCCTGGTGCGAAAATGGATATGTTACGGCACGCATGCTACCTGGTCAGGATTCCCGGGTTCCAACATAACAGGCATTGTCGTCGCCGATGGGTTCGAGATTGGGCTCCGCTATGTGAAAACGACCGTCGCCTGGGCCAGGAAGCACGTCGATTCGGTCGTGTCGTAATAACGAAGTGCATCTTGGAAGCATGTCTGATACATTTGATGTTGGTGTGCTAATGCAGTAAGATCCAGAACATCCTCACAGCATGCTTCTCATTCGTTCGGGACCACATGTTGAAAGATACAGGTAACGAAATGAGAGAACACTCGTATATCAGAGAAGGACACAGCCCAAGAAGGAAGGTAGCAGAATGCGTATGTGGTACAAGTCCATGTACACTGTGCTAGATACTAGTCAGCTTCACTCATCCATCTTTCCGTGAGCACAGCTGCACCACTCTAGTCAGACACATAGTCCCTATATATCCAAACTTTTCACACCAGTTTCCACACATGATGATGCATCAGCGACTTTCCAAAGATACTTACTCACGTCACCTCATGCACTAACAACCGTCTCCACCACATGACCATCATCTCAGATCTAACAAGAACCCCCATGTCTCAGCACAAATAGCATGCTCGAGCCACGTCGCAAATTCAATCGACGGTCGTGCCATGGAAACAGTGCGACATGTTTCATAACACTGCGATAGTGGTTGATGTTTGAAACGGGCATCGCATTGGCACCGATCGTGGCGTTTGCTTCACTAACAAACACACCGCCACGATTCTTGGGCTTGGCCATGCGCATAGGTACTGACGTCTTTGTTGTTCATGTTGACGTTTGACTATCTAGCTCTGCATTCGGCGTTGCTGCGCGGCCGCTGGTGCCGAGTTGCACAGCCACGGCCTTAGGTTGCCCACCGGATGACGACTTCATTCTCACGATGGCTCAGCCCCTCAATTACACACATGTGGCGGGGAAACAACATGTTGGTCAGCAAGGTAGGCGTCCAGGTCATCCTTGATGATATGTTCATGACGGATATGAGTGAATTCATGGCTGAGCACTGTGGGCCCACACATTGTAGTGGTATATTTGCGGGACCAACTGATCGTTATACACATAGTATGATACATGCTCCAACGCCCCTCTCTAGAACAGCTTGTTGTCCGCACTGGCCTTGGCCGCGTCTCTCCTTGCGCTCTGCTTCTTCCTGTCCTTTGCCTCGCCGGGCGGCTTGAAGAACAAAGACGGGCTCTCGCCATCCTTCATTGTGTAGTTCAAGTACCCTCTATGCGCTGGGTCGCGGTAGTACTCGATGTCCTTTCTTGCCGTCGCATCAGGCAGCCTGTACTTGTATTTCGACCCGATCTGCTTCATGACAGCAACCATAGCCTCCTTCTTCTTTTCTTCAGCGGCCGTCTGGAGGGCGGTGATGATGGGAGATGGGATCTTGGCGGCTGCGGAGCGAGCAGTGAGAGAGACGAGATCTGGCGAGGCTTGGATGGATATGGTGGGGTGTGAGTCGCCGCGGAGGACGCGCTTGATGGATGTGGGAGAGTAGAAGCGTGTTGTCACGCTGCCGCCGAGGGCTTCGATGCGTGCGATAGCGTCGGCAGAGGCGCGTGAGACGACGATGTGGATGGGTGTGGTCAATTGCTCTGGATTCTACGGTCACAATTAGCATTCGCGTGGCCGCCATTGATTGGTCTTCTCATACCCTCGCGAGCAGCTTCACGCCATGCCTCTTAACACCGTGCAGACACCTCGACTTGGCCAATTCCTTCATAGTGATGGGCTTCTTCGGGTCCAACCTCCCCTGGTCAATCCAGCTCTGTATCCGGTCCAGATTTATGGGTGACATCTCGACCTTGAACGGGTTGTACTTCCCCCGCCCTCGCTCGGGGTTGGTAATCCATTGTGGTGTCTGACCTCCCTCGAAGCCCGCGGGGACTTTGCCGTGTGCATGCTGACCCTTCTGACCCCGTCCACCAGTCTTTCCCTTTCCCGAGGCAGGACCGCGACCTCGTCGGATCTTTTTATTGTAGGCGCCTGCGTTGTCGGAGAGCGAGGAAAGAATGGATGCGCATCTCTGCTGGGCGGGCACAAGGAGGGGGGCGACCGATGTCGCTGCGGGTGCTCTCGAGCATACGAACAGGAGAGATGAGGCGGCTCGGACCGCTCTTAGCCGTGGTGGCATGGCTGTGGATGGCTATCTTCCTGCTGGCGACGAGCTCGTTGGTGTTGAGCGAATGCGAAGATTCGATGATGAGTAAGCGGCCATGTCCGCGGGATCTAGCCTCATGCGGATGTTAACTTGTGCAACCACGCCGCATCTCCAATCGCTCCTCAACTCCACGCGTCAAAATGGTCTTCCAGCTCCCTCGCTTCAGCTCACCTTAGACACTGGTCGAAATCTTGTCTGAGATTAGCGAAACCCTATTTTTAAGATCTACGACCGTAGATGAACCTTGACAATGGTTCGTCTTTTCCCGCCTCAGGGTGCAGGTGAGTTGACGACTACATCGAATTTTGCACACCAAATAGGTTCTCACTAATGAAAAGGTCTACATCCTGCTATTCCCAAGACAGAAGAACCTGGTGTTGCAAATACTGCCACTGCATTGGTCTTATTAGGGCCAACAGCGGCAGCGACTCTGCTTCTGGGCCGGATGATCATCAGACGCCCTTTGCTGACTTTGCCGACGAAATCTGCGTACTTTGTTACCAGAGCAGGCTTTTATTCTCTTGCTCTTGCTGCGCCTCTGGCAGCTTGGTTGACGCACTGGGAAAGTCAGATCAGAAGAAGCATCCTTCATTATGAAGGAATCAATCTCCCAAAATCTCAGATATGGCAAAGTAGTCAGGGGTTTACGAGGGATGATTCTAATATTATTGGTGGAATAGGAGGTATGCTCCTTTCTTTCAGAATGAGGAGTTTACGGAGTCTCTCCATTGGACATCGCCTACTTGGTCGGCTCGGAGCCTTCTCGACTGGATTCTCGACTCCGCTCCTTGTGTCCGATATAACAGTATCGGTATCGGGAACATACCTTCAGGAGCGATCTGCACAAAGATCTCATTACGAGAAGGCTGTGGCATTGCGTAAACTCAACAACGACCCTAACTTCATCCAATCTTTACCCCCCAGGTCCCTACTCCCAGAGCGAATTTGGAAGAAGACTGCTCGAGCTGAACGGGTGGCAATGTCATTCGACTCTCTGACTGATGAGGAGAAGGCCTTGTTGCAGCCTACTATGGTATTCAGCTGGCTGGACACTTTGACCTACAGCAATATCAACAAGACCCCGGGGGGCGCCATACCTATGGACTGGAAATATCCAAAGGATGCATCAGCGGCAGAGAAGCGGGAGTATGTGCTCAAAGAGATTCAGTCCGTTGCGAATATGCTTAAGCCATATGCACACAACAACAGCTTTGCGCTCCAAGGGAAGCCCATTCCGCGTCACGAAGCCTTTGATGTAGAATACGCTACCTTAACTAGGACCTTGGTCACTCTCATGTATGGGATGCTTATACCAGAAGAAGGAAAGCCTGAGCCGCGGATGTACATTCACGATTGCCTAAGCATAATTGATGCAGACAAGGGGGAAGATCACGTTCCGGTTGAGACTCTCGATTGCCTGCGCGCGCTCAAGACGGATTTTGAGAAAAGAAATAAGCCTGAGTATGTTGCGGGAATTGACAACCTCATACGGGAATGTGAAGGGCGTGCTGCAAAGAACAAGGAAGCGAGGAGTGGTCGAAATACAATTGAGGGGTGAAACAAAGGAAGACAAGTCGTTGAAGACCATCGCGCTTTGTTACAGGCAGCCGATGTTCAGCAGAATCAAGATATGTAGTTGTCTAGAATGAGCTTGCTTAATTCAGATGTTCGCTGGCGGATGTGATACATAGAAGACTAATGTAATCAGGCTGCGAACTGCACTCATCACACATGCCCTAGCATCGTTCGAGCAGTGAATGTACGATGTCTAATGCTACCCTTCACTACTGTGATGCGCACGAGATCAACTCATATCCGACCCTTTCCTTGAGCTACTCGCAATGTCCACTCTCTCGTCGTTGATCGTAGCCACCACTGGAAGATACTCACCAACAATAACTATCGCGAATACAGGTACGTACACCCACAATCGCACACCATATATGAACTCTATACCCAACAGTCTACCTAACCAGTAATAGAATTAAACCAACGCCTACACAACAACCGCGATGTCTGGAAACAACCCCCCCGAAGATTGGCGGAAAGTCACAGGTATCGGCCACGGCAAGGACTGGGGCGCGCCAACCGCGTATCCCAAGAATGGGACTGCCTGGGGAAAGGCATTGAACCCATCAACCGACAACAACAACAACACCAATAACGACAAGGCTTCGCCTGCTACACCTGCAAAGGGCTTGAACGCCGCGGCTCCGTCTTTCACTCCGGGTGGAGGAACTGCGAAGAAGTAGGGGTACGTCTACGAATGGAACAAGCCTGCCTACGATGTGGGCTGATTCTCAAGCAGGAAGAAACGGCGTAGATGTTGGCGGCAGATATGACGTCGACACAACAGGCTTGTGAGGTGTAGGTGTACAAAGTAGACTCCTAGACTACTGTTTGGATATATACTTGGAGGATGGTGTATTCGCGTATTCGCCAAACATTGGTATATTGGAATGTGAGCAGTAACATGTCAAGCGTTCAGTGAACGAAGGCATCACGAACGTGTCTATGTATAACACCAGAACTAGACTTGCCAACAGTACACATACTCACCATATCTCCCTATAAAGCTTCCTGTGCTCTTGCTAATAAGCTTCGCACACCACATCCTCCTGCACATAACAACCCCCATCTACAACAACAACACCAAAAAACATGAGCAACAACCCCTTCTACAACAACGACCCTTTCAACGTCCCCGGTCTCGGCCACGGCGCAGACTGGGGCACCAGACGCCCCTACGACGCCCGCTCTCACTCAGCCTGGGGCCCCGGCAGCGGCAGTCTCCAAGATTCATCTATTCCCTACCATACATCCTCAGACATGCGATACTTGGGTCCGTACATGTCGTATCCTTTGGATCCAGACTCACCGCGCGGAGGCTCTTGGTATGGCCCGTATGGGGGATCGCGATGGGGCGGAGGCGGTCGGAATGTAAGGTCTACATCTCCGCCGCGAGGCCCGGGGTACTATGATGATTTCGAAGAATATGGGGGATCGCAATATGGTGGAGGTGGGTGGGGTGGGCGGGGGAGGTCGGGCTCTCCACCGCGAGGCGAGGGTTACTATGATGATTTCGATGAATGGTGGTAGATGATGGTTCCCGTTGGGAAATGTGTTCATCATGGACTAACGTGTGGTATCTCATGTTAGCCAGAACTGTACCATCAGGGCGATAGTCGCAGAATCCACCGTGTCAATCATGTGTTCGGGTCACCCAATGAAGCGTGATGGCGAATACGTGTTATGTTGTTGATCGTAAATGTCAATCATTCCCAGCACCTACTGATACCAGAATTACCCCATGCAGCCCTGGTGTTGTAGGATGCAAAGAAACCCTGCCGAAAGTCCCGTTAGGAATGAACGTAGGGATATTGGTACCATCATTCCATAGCCTGAGAGCCACTGGCCGTCTCGTGAAGATATGCTGGCTGCGTAAGCTTGCGGATGTCAGTTCTTAAATCCATGTACTCAAGCTTCTGAACGCCGAGGAATTCTTTCAACGCCGTCGTAATCAATAGGCCAAGATCTTGTCATGCATTGGGTTGAGCCTGCGGTTGCCTGTGACGGCAAATCCAATAGGACGCCTAAACCCAGCTTACAAATGTCCTCTTGGCAGAGTCTTCGCCGCAATGTGATGTTCGACGGCTGTTGTCAGTCGTCATGAAATGGAGGTTCTAGAGCGATCATGCCATGTAGATTAAGTATAAGAGGTAGCCGCGCATCGAATAGAAAGGCCCTATCGTACTTCGCCTTGTATAGCTCGCGGGCTTTCCAGTCTGATCTCTAACAAGACCACTATGTCGCATCCTCAATACTTCGACTATCCCGGCTTTGGGGAGCGATCAAAACGGGATTTGAACTACAGCCAAGCGGTCCGCATCGACAACCGCATCGAAGTATCCGGTCAAGATACGTCGCCCACAGTTAATAGACCACCCAATGTTGATCACATCCAGGCGGCTGGGATTGCACGACCGAGGAGTATCCTGAAGATCTTTCGAAGGAGGTTGACCAAGCTTTCGACAACGTCGAACATGCTATTCAACAGGCTGGTGGGGAGGGCTGGGACCAGGTTTACAAGACGCGTATCTACGTTACCGTGCCGATTAATGAGATTGCGGAGCCAATTATTCGCAACATGAAGGAAAGATGCAAGAATCATGGGCCTCTCATGACTGTAGTGCAAGTCGTGGCTTTGTATAAGACGATGAAGATTGAGATAGAAGCGGAGGCGCACTTGGGGTGATGTGCGCAGCAGCCTCGGAAGATCGGAGCGCCTTCCATTCCTGTTAGTAATTCAGCATGTTTAGAGAAACTTACATACACCAAAAACATGAAGCCCACAAGATGTGAGACGTGTGTGTGTGTGAATGGCGTGCAAAGAGAGTCAGCGCCTGGTACTCCGTGCCCAGGTGTGGTCCCAGTACGTCATCGTCATCGTGGCTGCCCGCTAAGTGGGGCCTCGACTGCGCCACAGGTCACAACGATCACTCGCGGCAGCCTCCCTGTTCCAGTCTCGACGACGACCGAGACGCCACTAGAGTAGCATCGACAAATGAGAAGAGTTTCTTGCTCTTCAATCGCGGCGTTGCATATGCCAGAGAGCTTTCCGCGGCCATTCACCCGCCTGCTCGTGCGCCACGGAAGTCGTCATCGCCATCGCTGACAATCGTCGCGACTCCTTTTCAACGCGACAATGCCGAATCGATTCCGGAGCAAGCTGGAAAATGCTGGAAGAAAGACGGGCAATTGCATACGGACAGTGGTCTGGCAGACATCCAAATGCCTCATGTGGACGGTTTGCGCGCCTTGCATCTGTTGCTTGCTAGTATTTCTGAGCCCTGGTCGACATGGAAGAAGACGAAATCTTTCACACGAGATAGTACTACCAACGATGCCCACACCTCGCAGACGCGCACTTTCCATATCAGGGGACTTACAAGAGGACCAGAAGACGCTGGCACAGCCTCGCTCAGCGCTTCTGAGCAAACTGCCGTTGGAGATTCGGCGGATGATCTATGAGATGGCTCTGGGAGAACAGACCATACATGCATCGGTTTTGGATGGGAAACTATTGACGCGAAGGTGCACACTTCGAAATTGCCTTTGCTACATGCCTTGTTCACCAGGCCAGAAGCTGCAATTGGCACTCCCTCTTCTAAGAACGTGTCGGCAGATGTAAGTTGAGTCAGATACAATTGTAATTGCACATTCGCTACCAGTACAAGACTAACATGTGACCGTTCTTAGTTATTCTGAAAGTATCGAATATCTCTACAAAAGCAATGAGTTCTTCATGTCCACGGACTTGGAAGACTTTCCAACAGCAGGCTATCTCTGCTACTTCTTCCAGCCCCAACGTATCGTGCAAGTCAGCAATCTCAATATTGAATGGGACCTTGATCGCAATCAATACTTCCAGGTCAACCTCATGCCTGCGCATCACCGAGTTGAGTGGTACAGGTTGTGGGATGGGCTGAGCAAGATGACTGGTCTCAAGAGATTACACATCAAGTTGTACTTCTGTCTCGACCTCTGGCAGGGATGCTATGGTGAATTCTGGGAACAGAACAGCAAGGAAATTCTGCAGCCCATCAAGAAGATCACGGCTCCAAGAGACTTTGTCGTCACTCTTCCGAACTGGCGATGCTCGGCCGAGATCAATACCGGCGAATCCAACTGCGTCTTCCAGCTACCAGAGAGGGACGACCAGGAAAGTAGCGCGTCCTGACGCGTCCAGGGACAATTCTCGGACGATCTTAATCACACGGACGGCAGCTTCTCGGGAATGGCTGTGGAGCATTACGGATGCTCATGAGACATATGGGGCTTCTCCAAACTCAAGCCGAGGGGATACAACGACCTCGCAAAGGCCAATCGGATTGACGATGGGCCAAAGTCACCGCCTGGTCGGAGTACAAGACTCTAAGAAGCAAAACGCAGCCAAGACACAACATGACGGTGACGCACAGGAACCATGCACGCAAGCTCCCACGCGCGGCTTGAACAGGTCTTGCTCCGCCCGCTGTGCCGGCGCGCGTATCTTATCGCATCGTTGATCAACGTGACAGGCGGCGTGGACTTGGCGGCTTGGCGAGCTAACTCGTCCCGTGTAGCTTTCCACAACCATCTCGTGCTCCGTCCGCCATCATGCACAGCCAAGAGCTTCGAGCTAGGGTAGCTCCACCACGTGCAGTAGCTGAGCAGCTCAGCTCGAACACCTCGAGCCGTGCGGCGTCCTGTACTTCGGCGTCTTTGATCTATCCGAGGTGTTGTACAGCTCTGGCCTTTTTCCGGTGCAGATAAGAAGCGTCATGGCCGCCAGGATGCTTGTCCTGCAGGAACCGTTCGCTCTCGTCGCAGGTTCCCGGATACTTCGGGGTTGAGATCTGCTCACGATGCGCTCTTTCATCGCTACCTCTGTCCTCGTCGGACTCGCGTCTGCTGCCGCTGTACCTGTTGTTGCTCCCCGTGGAGACGGCTATGGTCATGGCCATGGGCACAGCAAGTTCAACGTCCAAGTCGGCGTCCGGCCTTACTACCTCGTCGACAACATGGACGAGAGCCCGTTGAAGGAAAAGCTGGAGAGCTGCTCGGAGCAAGAGTTCAAGACCTCGGACTTTGTCCTTGCGCATCGTGGAGCGCCGCTTCAATTCCCTGAGCACACTCTTCAGAGTTACAAGGCTGCGCATCGGATGGGTGCTGGCCTGATCGAATGCGATGTCGCTTTCACCAAGGACAAGCAGCTTGTCTGCCGCCACGCCCAATGCGACTTGCACACCACGACCAACATCCTCAACACTACACTCGCTGAGAAATGCACGACCCCCTTCTCGCCCGCCGCCAATGGCACTGCTGCGTCGGTCAAGTGCTGCACCTCGGACATCACTTTGGAAGAGTTTGGCACTCTCTGCGGCAAGATGGATGGCTTCAACCCCAACGGCACCACGGTAGAGGAATACATGGACGGCACACCCTACTTCCGCTCGGATCTATACGCGCAAGACTGCCCCAAGCTCATGACGGTCGACGACTACATCCCCCTGGTCGACAGCTGGGGTCTGAAGTACGCGCCCGAGCTCAAGACACCCGAGGTTGAGATGCCGTTCGATGGATACACACAGGAGGCGTATGCTCAAGATATAGTCGACAAGTTCCGCGAGTACGAGATCGATCCGAGCCGTGTTTGGCTGCAGTCTTTCCTGCCCGATGACGTTTTCTACTGGATCGACAATGAGCCTGACTTCGGAATCCAGGCCGTGTATCTCGACGAGCGCGTTGATACTCCCGAAGGCTACGCCAATGCCACTGCCAGCATCCCTGAGCTCGCTGCTCGTGGAGTTAAGATTATGGCGCCCGCAATGTTCGCTCTCACCAAGTTGGATGATGACAACAAGATCGTGCCTTCAGAGTACGCCATCGCTTGCCAGGAACACAACTTGGACATTATCGCGTGGTCATTTGAGCGCGGCGGATGGCTGCAGATTGACGGCGGTGGATACTACTACCAGTACGTTGCCAACCGGACCAACAATGATGGCGACATGTACGATGTACTCGATGTTCTCGCGAAGGACGTGCACATCATAGGTATGTTCTCGGATTGGCCGGCCTCGGTAACCTACTATGCCAACTGCATGGGGTTGTAGGCGACACAGCCTTATATAGATCCTGACAAGGAAGAAATATATGATACATCGTTCAAATGACCTCGCTCGCAATAAACCAAAGTGATCGTGTCTTACTTGGCATCCTCCGAAGCATCACTTGCGTTGCCGAATATCCTCAGCTTTACCGTACTCTCCCCCATATCCCAGTCCGTCCTACAACTCGGATACGGCAGCACGACAATAGCGTCGCGCGGCTTCGTCACCATCCTCACGCTATCCAGCAGCATATCTTCTAGCTCCATCCACTCGCTCTGCCACAGCCATTGCGGGCTAGGATCCATCAAAATCACCCGAAGATGTCTCAATCCCTGCATATTCGCTATTATCGTCCACGCTTTCTCCCAATTCGCGGTATCGTCGCGGTACACGACGCGATTCGAAGGACCACGACTCATATAAGGCAGCGCGCGAATGGCCCAGCGCAGATGTAGTGTTCGGATCGAATTGAGGCGCGGTTGTGGGATCGAAGCGGGGAGGTAGAGTAGGTGCGTGATATGGAGGAGGGAGAAGGTGTGCGCGCGATAGAGATACGAGATCGCCTCGGAGTACCTAGATTGCAGAATACAGTCAGTCTCCACAATGCCATTGCGATTGCGATGGGGAGGGGAGGGGGTGGAAAACACATACATGCGCCTACAAGCCCTCAACACAGTCGGCCCACCAGGGTACAATCTCGCGCCCTTCTTCCCAAACACCAGCACGCGACACATGTACTCCCTCCCGCCATCTCCCTCGCTATCGCACAGGAAATGGCCGAACCGCTTCTTCTTCGTGCTCAGTGTCAGATGCACAATCTCCGCGCCCATGACATGTTCGTACACCAATTGCCGCAGTTCAAGCGGCAAGCGCGTGAAGAAGTCGCTCTGGCCCTGCGCATGCGTGCGCGCATCCATATCGACATCCGGTTCGGACGTCAGACTGATGGTGGATGCGCGCGGGCGCACAGTGCCGTGCTCTGGCGGCGCGGCTTTGAGCGAAAACGGGTTCCGGCTTTTAGGCTTCGGGGTGGACGGGGAGGTCGACGGGATGTCGGACGGTGTCCAGCGTATACCGGGGAGGCGGCTGAGGAGTGACTTTGGGGGCTTCATTGTGATCGCTGAATTGGAGGAATGGAGATAGGAAGGGGTAGAGATTGTGGGCGCAATGAGAGTCGACGCCCCCCTTGCGCGGGCGCGCCAGCATCAGCCGCGGCGCAAAGTTGGGCAGAGTGGTGATGGCGATAGGCTAGGGAAGGGTAAGCGTGCGGGGTCTTGGCCGCCAAGCTTGTTTCGAGCAAGCTTCGTCTGGGGGAGTGGGGGAGGTGCTGTGCCCGTGGGGTTGTAGATGGGCTGCTACTTTGGCATGCTAGCCATCGATGTGATTTCTCGATATACGCGCCTGTTCTTGCCTTTATGTGCTCAGAGAGCGATACCAATACCCTGGCCTGCTTTCCGATGATCGCGTGAGAGGTACCGTACGTGTGGAAACTCGCATTCTATCGCTTAAACAGGTATCGCGTACTCGATGTCTTGAATCGACCGTACCTAGGTATGTACTAGCAATACCGTACATTCTGGCATGGAGCCATTGCTTTGGTCATACTAACAGGCAAACTTCGACAATGCCATGATGATGCCATGAGGCCGTCTATCTTCCTGGCAGGATTGGCAAGGCCCAATCAGGCAACTTGTCCGCCTTCTGCAATTTCACCTGACCGGCAAGACCATGCCGAAAGATGGCAACGTAAGGTACAATTCTCGAGGAACAACTTCGAATGCTCTCATCCAGCTCTACCCTCCACTAAATCTGGATCAACTGACATACCGGGCCATCCGGACGAATACCGTCTCCAAAACGCCACGCTGTATTGGTACTGGTATACGGCACAGCCACCTGCAGTCATGAACCAAGCGCGCTTTCCCGGGGCGTAAAGTCACTTTGTCATAGACAAAGCCCCACGATAGACTACAGCTGAATACCTCTATCATGGCTAAACAAGAAGACAAGACCATGAGGAAGCGTCTTCGCGCTTGTGAAGAGTGCCATCGTCTGAAGATCAAGTGCGACATCAGCACCAATCCCGACGCGGCAAGCTGCGAAAGATGCACCCGCAACAACCTGGAATGCGTCCCTGCAGCACCGCGCCTTCAGCGCAACCGCATCCAGGAGCTAGAGGCGCAAATTCAAGAACTCAGCAATTTGCTACAGAAACAGAGCAACAACAGCCCAACGCCAAGTCGCTCCCCTGGCGGACTCTCCACCAACACGCTAGGCCGGTCGCCCGGTAGCCTAACAGACCACCACTACGAAGCCATCTTGTCATTTCTGGATGCACGCATTTCGCCTATCCAGCAACAACATCTACTCCACCTCTATGCGCACCAAGCCGGATCAGCATGGCCCGTCATACGCCTTTCCGGGGATCTCGAATATCTCCGCACAAAAGCTCCCATCCTACTTCTCTCCGTCATAGCATACACAACTACACAGGAGGCGCAAGGCTTAGATTTAGAGACGCACGATGAGATAATACGCGAAAGTATGCATGTCCTCGGGGAAGAAGTTTTAGGCAGAGGGCAAAGATCGCTGGAACTTGTGCAGGCGCTGCTCATAGCCACGTACTGGAACAAGCTTCCGCGAAGAGGTCTAATGGGCAGTTGTTACCAGATCCTGCAGCTAGCCGCAGACATGGCCATTGATGTGGGCATCGCGGGAAACTCGCTGCAGCCCACTCCCCCAGCCTATTTCTGCCGGCATCAGGACGCGGGATCGCTGGAAGCACGACGTACCTGGCTAGCCTGCTACATGGCACTCTCAAGCTCGTCAATCAGTACACGCAGGCCGAATCCATACCCCTGGAATGCTTACCACGAGGAGTGTCTCTTGTACCTAGAAAGCCAAGGAGATGCTTCCGACATGCTACTCTGTCAGCTCGTTCGCATTACGCAACTGGACCAGGAGATATCCAATCAATTATACCTCTGCCAGATCGCTACGTTTGTAGACGGCAACGATTACAACACGTATGCCGTAATCGAGACGATGAAGAACAAGCTCGAAGCGTGGGTCGCTCATATCCCACCCAGTCTTGCAACGTCTCAGACGCTCAAAGTGTGGTGGCACGCAGCCATGGTTCACCTGTACGAGCTTGTCCTGCACACACCAACGAACAAAGCTTCCTTCGCAGCACCCTTCATCCCCGGCCGCATACCCGTCAAAGACTTCCCCAAACCTACCATCATCATCGCCCCGCTCAAAACGTCGCTCGAAGCCCTCGTCCAGAACTGCCATGCCGTCCTCGACACGGCCGCAGAAATGGATCCAGCTCTGCTTGTTAATTTTCCATCATTCTGCTTTGCACCAACGGTCATATACTCGCTTTTCGTGCTCGTCACCGTCATGGTGGCTTCGACCGACCCCGCCAACACATACGGGCAGTGCCTACCGAATAATTGTTTCCGCATTGAAGAGTTTGGACTCAAGATGCACAATCTAGTCATGTACATGAAGGTCCTAGATCCTACGCTGAGTTGCTTCACCACGCGTATGTTCGATGCGACGAGTTGGCTGGAGCAATGGTATAACGATTACACTGCTATTCTGCAGCGGTACGAGGCAAATCTAGTTAACTAAATTGCGTTATACGGTGGTATCTTATAGAATTCCAACGCCTTTTGAAGTTAGATGGGACGGCGAACTTTGGCCGTTGGTGTCGATCTGTTCATCCGTCGTGTTACTGTTGATTGGTGCACATGTCCATGGATGCTTGCTGCCGCATGCAGCATGCATAAGCGTGGTCAGCCACGTTCTGGCCGTCAGCCATTCATCCTGCATCGGTGTTTTTTCGCCTGATGTTTGATGAGATGACGTTTCAAATACACGGAAATGGTTCTCTGTGGTTGCGATTTGGTGTCCTGCTGTCTGATGATGTAGTTGTCGCGCATAGATGTTCGAATACACACTCAGCTGATGCGCAATCTCGCAGTAGGCAACCTGGCTAAAGTCCGCTGTCTCGTCCGCGTACGCTAATGATGGTATGGAGGATTCTCCGTTCCTGCATGAGAAAACGCCATGCGCTGATGCTCGTTGCTTCACTATGTGTCGCGGTGATCTGGTGCCGCGATTGTTCAGCAGTTACCTTGTGTGTACGTTCCTCAAGGTCGCTGTAGTAAATAAGTACTGTATACAGCGCGCATCAAAACGACTGTCACCAAAGAATGCTACCGTTTATAGTCTAGCGCCATCAGGCGAGCAGCGAGCTATTCGCTCCATCGAACCAACCCAACCGTGGACATTTGATATTCGCTCCACCTTGTACCCTCTCGCTTACATCTACACCCCCCTCACTCTCCCCTCCCATCGTGACATCTCGCCTTGCACAAGCACCCTCCACCCTCCACCCACGACGCCACAACGTTATTTTTGGATACCTCCAAAAGTACATTTACCCACGACTTCTGGCGAATTCCCGCCGTTCACCCTAGCCCCTCGTGTGTTTAGCGACGGTTGTTGGCAGCACGACAAGTGGATACCGGTATGCACGCTTCCCGCACTGCCGCCCCTGCTGATTCGTCACATCGTACACTGGGAAGGAAGGCATAGGGCTGTTAGATCAAAGCAGATGCTTGGCTTGAGAACGTCAAGAGTGCCCAGGTGTTCTAGTAAAGCCATCACGATCCCGGAGGTGGATGGTGATGCTATATTTGTCGCATGCTGCTTTGATCGTGCACTTTTGGACACAAGCTACCTAGTCATTATGAGTCGACAACCTCGAAAGTACCTAGAGCCGTGTTGTGTGGTTTCGGTAGAAGAGGGCGGTGCTATATTTGCCACAGGTTGCATTGATCGTGCACTGCCGGATACGAATTGCCATGTCTTGGCTGGCAAAAGTCGAAGATGTCATGGAAGTAAGCACGCAGGAAAGGGTAACCGGTGAGTGAGATGAGGGTGCACCCGTGGGTGGAGGAGAGGTTGGGTGTAGTCTGGATCAGGGGGAGGGAAGACGTATAAGAGAGCCTCGTCCTTGGGGTTGAGGACGACATCACAGCATTGCATCTTCAACTTCAGGGCCTTCAAGTAGTATCTTTTCCAGCACCTCCTCATCCTCCAACTATCACCATGCGTCCATCTCAAGTCTTCTCCTACGCCATCTTGGCAGGAACCAGCATAGCCCAGGGCGACATTGGTGCTCTCCTGGCTTCACAACCCGATCTCAGCACTCTCCTCGAGCTCGTTGGTCTAGTGGATGGCCTTGCAGACACGCTCTCTGCCGCTTCCAACATCACCATCTTCGCTCCTACCAACGATGCATTCGCAGCCGTACCACGCGATGTACCCGAGGGCCAGGCCATTGAGAACAAGAACGACACCATTGCCATCGGCGCCCTACTTGCCAACCACGTCTTCAAGGGCGTCTACCCGGCTAGTGTCATCACCGATATCCCAACCTTTGCACAGACACTCCTCGACAGCTCGTATGTGAATGAAATCCAGCCTTTCTCCAACTTCACCGGAGGCGCCTACAATGAGCTCGTCAAGAATGGAGAAGACGTCTGTGTTATTTCTGGAGAACAAACTATCTCCACTGTTACTGAAGCTGTAAGTATCCATTATGACACACCCAATTCCTCACCAACAACACTAACCCAAACCCGCAGGACATCATGCTCGGCGCCGGCATAACCCTCCACAAAATCGACACGGTCCTCTCCTTCGGCGCGCCCTTCCAACTCTTCACCTACCGCTCCGGCTACCTCGCCATGAACGCCGCCCTCTCAGCCGCTTCACTCGCCATCGACTTCGGCCTCTCGGACCCCTCATCCACCGGCCTCAACATCTCCGACTTCACCATCTTCGTGCCCACCAACGCGGCTTTCGAAGCCATCGGCTCGGTGCTCGAATCCGCGGACCAGGCGACGCTGCAGGAGGTGCTCAAGTACCACATTATTCCTAGTAATGTTATTTTCTCGACTGCGCTGGGTAATGTGTCGGTGAAGAGTCTGCAGGGCGAGGAGTTGGTGTTTACGGTAACGGAGGAGGGGAGGGCGTGGGTTAATGGCGCGGAGATTGTGTTTGCTAATAGTATTCTTTTTAATGGGGTGGCGCATGTTGTTGATGGGTTAGTTCTTCTCCTCCCCCTCCCATACCAATTATCACACATAACTGACTTTCTATTTCTAGTGTCCTCAACCCTCTCGCTCCTTTCGACCGCGCCTCTCTAGACCCATCTGCCCCAGCCTCTGACCGCGTCGCTTTCGAAGGCGCATCTTCCGTCTCTGAACTCCCCTTCTCTAGCGCTTCTCTCGCTTTCGGTGGTGACCTCATGACCTACACTACCACACCTGAGCTTCTCAAGACTGTTGCTGCTGTTGCGACAGCTACCTCGGGTGTTGACGCTACTACTACAGGTTCGCCTATGGAGACTTACACTGGAGCTGCCATGGCGATGCTGCCTGGTGCGGGTGTGGCTGTTGCTGGTGCTATGGGTATCGCTGCTGCGTTTGTCTAGAGTTGAGAGGGGATGAAGTGACGGGAAGGAGGATGCGACGGTTATGGGTTGGGACAAGAGTCTGCATACGAATGCGCACGCATAGATGGCATACCACTTAGATTTCTTTGAGGTGTTTTCCCTAGCAGGCACAGTTGTCATGAAGCCAAAATGCGATTATGAGCAAGCTGGAGTGCTAGAGCGTAGCTAGTGACAACTCTCTAATGCGATGATCGTTTCAAATGTCTCTGTCTCGTTGCAAAAAGTTTCTGCTTCGTGGTTATCAAATCTTTGGGCGCGATGAGGAAAAACAGGCGACTTCGCAGTGTCGGAACCATGACGTTGAGCCAGAGAACGTTGCACAGTACCGCGGGGGTCCACTCCGGTGTAGGGCGCGGTAGGGCGTGCACTATGCAGAAATCGTTATCAGTGCGTTTCTGACCCCCTGCATCCAATCTGAACGGTAGTAACGCACTAGTGAGGTCTCTCAGCAAGCAGCAATACGAGGCCGGAATTAACATCATCTGGTGTAGCAGTGTCGTTTACCGGCTGCAAAGGGTACTGAAAGTTCCGGAAAGAGCTTAAGGTGCATGCTGGAGGTACTTGGAGTAATTTCTAGCGAGAATGTGTGGCTTTTCAGGCCGTTAAATAAATCTCAAGGCGAGAAACGGTTATTGCATCTGGTGATGGAGGCTGCGATGCTCGAGGTACAATTCCGGCCAGACCAATCACAGCAGCTGTATCGGACCCACCGGAGGCGCATGTTGGGCCGATTCTGCGGCTCTCCGCGGCCCTTCTTTTCGGTAGTTTTTCTGGTTGGCTCGCAACCGAGCCGCTGTTAGCACTCGTGATGGTCATCGAACACCATTACAGAGGCATGTCGTGTGTCATCAAGTAAATTCTGGGCGGTGATTTGTTGTGAATATTGCGAGTCGTTTTCATCGCGACTGCACGTGTGTTGGCCACTCTGGTGTGCGACGGTCTCGATCGGGCCGACTTAGATGGCGTTGTCACCGCCGTAGTCGGCGTCGTGATGGACGCCTTTGAGAACTGGCACGTAGGAAGTCGTTACAACTGTCTTAGATACTGAGAACCTGTAATTCAGCTTTTCAAAAGTTTGTCGAGTGTCGCAATAGCTATAAAGATGTTGTGATCTTAACTTCCAGTCGATAGTAATACGTTGTAGACTTCGTAAATAGAGACTGAATCACCAGTTGCGCACTTCCTTTGTTGCGAAAAGAAAATGGAAAGCATGATGGGAATTTGATTCCAATATTCCAGTGACATCTCAAGCCAGTAGGAAAGTAGCCTCCGTTGCGCCGCCTTCGCCCTCTTCCTCTGCTTGACCCAAGTCTTGGCGGCGACGAGCCTACCCTCCCAACTCATCGAGGACATCAGGGGGAACCTCTGGATCGAGGCCGGGCATCGCAGGATGTCTTCGGGTCAAAGTCTGCTGATGAAGACAAGTGATCCAGCCATTACGTACGTCTTATCTTGACGAGGCCGGTGGTTTTCCGTGGCCGGTTTTGATTCCGGCCTCGTAGGATATAAGCTCGTTGTCGCCGTTGCTGTCGAGAGAAGTTTCAACTCATCCCAACTCCAACATTCGGCGCTCGGACCAGATCTCCAGCATCAAAGCCTGAATACCTTCAGCATCTTTGACTTCTCTCTCTCTTCAATACCTCTTTGCACATGTCTTCTTCAACCTTTGACTTCCCCGTCATGAAGGACCCCCGTCCTGATGACCGCACACTCCCCGCCTTCATGGTCTCCACCACACGAGGCTTCCTTCCTCGCCAAGAACCCATTGTCGAACTACCAAAAGAGTTCGCTGCTCTTGAGTCTATCTTGCAACGCATGCCCATCAAGACACTGTCAGGGGAGTCAGGTCTACTTGCCAACTTCACCTTCGGCGACACCGTACTCAAGGAGCTTCCTGATCTTACCCCAGAGGTAGAGAAGTATCGCGATGACCTGGTCGTCATGAACGCCCTGTATCGTGATTACTCTTTCTTGGCTTCTGCATATCTCTTCGAGCCTTGCCATGAGAGGCATGTAAGAGGAGAAGAATACGGTCTGGGTCGACAGTCGCTGCCGAGATGTATTGCGCTACCCATCGTCAAGGTTGCTGAGATGTAAGTGGCAATGCTTTCTCCTATCGTCATATGGTGCTGGTCTTATGTGCTTGTCTTCTTAGCTTGGCATGGCAACTTCCAAACAGTCACCTTCACAATACACCATAGGGTGGATGACATGGCTGACATTACTCGCGCGCAGTGCTGGTTTCAAGCCGTTCATGGAGTATGCTGGGTCGTATGCGCTCTTCAATTACCGTCTGGAAGATCCATCACGGGGCCTCGAGTACGACAACCTTCGCCTGATCCGCGCTTTCGAGCATGGGTTGGATCCCACTTCATCTGAGGCCGGCTTCGTTCTCGTCCACATAGCTATGGTCAAGGAGTCTGGTGCGCTTGTCACAGGTGCTTCCGAGATGCTTGAAAGCTGTCTGGCCAAGGACCGAGAGCGGTTCAATGACGGCCTTCGTACTCTGGTGGGTGGTCTCAGAAACGTCAACGCCGTGATGAACAGTAAGTGCATTGCTTCGGTGCGTGAATTGGCGACTGATGAGATTAGCCATGTGGAACCGTAGCAAGCCGCAAGGCTACACCAACTTCCGTACGTTCATCTTCGGCATCACCTCACAATCCATGTTCCCCAACGGTGTCATATATGAGGGCGTGAGCGAAGAGCCAATGTCTTTCCGCGGCGAGTCTGGTGCCAACGACAGCATGATTCCCATGTGCGACAACCTGCTTCAGGTCCAGATGCCAGAGACACCTCTTACGGATATCCTGAAGGACTTCCGCCAGTACCGTCCTGGCAATCACCGCGAGTTCTTGGAGGCTGTTCGTGATTGCGCTCAGCAGTCGGGCGTGCGCGAGTTTGCGAAAGGCGACTCCGTGTCAGCCGCGCTCTATCTCCAAGCTCTTGATCAAGTTCGCGACTTCCGCTGGCGGCATTGGTGCTTCACTCGCGAGTACATCCTCAAGCACACTTCGCACCCGACTGCAACAGGTGGCAGCCCGATCGTGACTGTAAGTGCTTCCTTGGCTCGACGGTCTTGCTCTTACTGACGCGTAATAGTGGCTACCCAACCAGCTCACAGCAGTACTCATGCAAATGGCGGAGACCTTCGAGTACTGCAAGACGATCAATGGTGTCAGCGATATTATGGATACAGTCAACCACCAGCGCGAGTCGCTGAGGAAAGAGGTGGAGAAGTACTGCGGGGAACGAGGTGTTGCAGCATCATGAGAGAGCACGCTTCCCTCGTCGACGGCACTACACGTTCTCTTGTAATTCATAGCCAAACCATGAAGCATTTACTTTATGCCTTCTTTATCATGTGCGCCTTTGTTGGAGTGCTGCCTAGTCGCGACATTTTCGTGTTCCGCCCTTTTTGATGATGACTCGCGTAAACTCAGCGATGCGAGGGCGTAGACACGTAACGTATGACTGTAGCGACAACACTACGGATGACGCCGCGGTGATTGTGGACCACGGAGGCTGTGAGTGGTGTAATGGTGGTGGTTCTGGGATGAGTCAAGACGCGCTACCGCGTGAGTCTCAGCGTCATGGCTCCGGCGGCCTTCTATCGATAAGTAGGCCCCCGGATCTCCCCAGCAGCTCCCATCGCCATTGCCAGCGCCATTCCAGCACTTGCCACCCTTCGATGCTCACTGCAAGACAACTCATGGAATATTCACACTCCTTCCAGCTCCCGCGAATACCAAACGTCTTATTAATACGGCGGTGTTTACGGAACACGTCCTGACAGTCCCAACCCCACATTCATACCTCCATCACACCACGTACATCGGTCGCTACGAATACCTTCAGTTTAGGTCTACCGGTGAATATCTTATAATCACGTGCTATTTCGCATAATATGGCCTCCCGACACGAGCCCAAGCAGAGCCCAGCTGAGCGGCGGAAGGGCGAGTCTGTAAGTAATAACCCAGGGGAAACCCATGTCTCCCCAAGCTGTACCCCAGATGTACCCCAGACATATTCGTTGCTTTGACACAACGAGTATGGTACAGGAGAAACCAATTCCGTTGGCTCACGGTTCGCGCCGAGTAGTACAACCAGGGAAATGGGGCTACTTGTAGCACGAAGGCGATCGCATTGTACTTTAGACGGATTACCCATTGAGGTTCCAGAAGACGTACTCAAGCTAATGTAAATACCAGGCGCTCAGCGAATTTGCCGACTACGTCCAGAAACAACAGGCGCTGCGCCGACCGCCCGGCCAGGCCCCCGCCGTCCTCGAAGACCACGATGAGCTGAGCATCCTCGACGAGCTCGGCCTCTCCGATGACAACAAGGCGCACATCCGCCTCAAGACACTCCTTACCGACCCCGCCGAAGAGAACGTCGCAGCGCTCGCTGAGCATATCCAGGGGCGCCTGGCCGAGGGCCATGGGGAGGCGCTGTTCGATGTTGGCCTGGAAGACAGCGGTGACTCCATGGGCTTCGCTGAGGATCAGTGGAAGTTTGCCTTGGAGAGGATACAAGCTGCCTGCGAGAAGATAAAAGCCGACTACAAGATGCTCATGACGCGGAACGTTGGCGGTGACGTCGAAGTCGGACCTCGCAATGCGAAGGAGCTTGGCTTAAGTGGCAAGATGATCTTGCGACAACAGCCGCAGAGTGTCGACGATGTGATCGAGACGAGGATAGCAGTAGTAGGAAATGGTGAGTGCCTCAGGCGCAATTGAGAATATACACTGACTCTCGACAGTCGACGCTGGCAAGAGTACCATGCTCGGTGTCCTCGTCAAAGGCGGCCTCGACGATGGCCGCGGTAAAGCGCGCGTCAACCTCTTCCGCCACAAACACGAAATCGAGAGTGGTCGAACCAGCTCAGTCGGCATGGAGATAATGGGCTTTGACAGCAAGAGCGAAGTCGTTGTGTCGAACGTCGCAGGTCGAAAACTTACTTGGGAAGAGATTGGACGGCGATCCGCCAAGGTCATCAGCTTCACTGATCTCGCTGGACACGAGAGATACTTGCGGACTACCGTCTTTGGGCTGCTGTCAAGCGAGCCCAACTACTGTCTACTGATGATCGCGGCAAACAACGGTTTAGTGGGCATGAGTAAAGAGCATCTCGGAATCGCACTTGCGCTCAACGTCCCCGTCATGGTCGTTATCACCAAAATCGACATTTGTCCGCCACAGATCCTTGAACAGACTATAACTCAGCTGTCCAAGATCCTCAAATCTCCAGGAGCGCGAAAGATACCAGTATTCATCAACAATAGGGAGGAGTGCATCACCACCGCTACTCAATTTGTGTCGAGTCGTATATGTCCTATTTTCCAAGTTTCCAATGTCACTGGTCACAACCTGGACCTGGTGCGCATGTTCCTCAACGCACTACCGCATCACGGCAATTACGACGCCTCTGCTCCTCTGGAATTCCACGTCAACGACACATTCTCGGTCCCTTTCGTTGGCACTGTGGTTTCAGGTGTTGTCAAGTCTGGTGAGATACATTCTGGCGACACAGTATTGATCGGTCCCGACAGTCTTGGCCAGTTCCAAACGACAAAAGTGCGTTCCGTCGAGCGCAAACGGATACAAGTTCCAGGATGCTCCGCTGGCCAGTCTGCTAGTCTCGCACTGCGCAACGTTCGGCGGAAAGACGTGCGAAAAGGCATGGTCGTTTTGCACAAGGCTGAAAAGCCAGACCCGACAACTGGCATACTACCAGCCCCGAAAGTGTACCGCGAGTTCGTTGCTGAAGTCTTGATCTTGTCGCACGCGACGACTATCAAGACCAAGTATCAGGCTATGCTACACGTTGGACCGGTGTCCCAAACCTGTGCCATCATCGACATCGACCGCCAGTACATCCGCACTGGTGACCGAGCACAGGTAGCCTTCCGCTTCGTACAGCGACCAGAGTACTTGACTGTCGGCGATCGGATACTATTTCGTGAGGGCAGAACGAAAGGATTGGGTATTGTCAAGAGAGTCGGCTATGACTCCAAGCATCCGCTAAACCCGGAGTTGCACAAGAAGAAGGATGGTCAAGAGGACGGGAAGAACGTGGAAGCATCATGACGGGTTGGAACGTAGAATTTAGTAGAGGTCTCAAGCAATCGCATTAGAAGATCGAACGATGTCACGTAGTCAACGCTTTAGAGACTAGCTGTCATGGATGATATAATGATTCAAATTTGCATGAGAGAATCCCAGCTGGAACGCAATTTAGCTGAGTGTTTCACATGATAGCGGCTATTCGCACCCAAGCATGATATTCGATACGCTAGGTTCAAGGTGCCGCAACGTGTTGAAGATCGCGGTGCTGACAGCCGCGTATCGATAACAGTATCGCAAAGCCGCAGCTCCAGTGGCAGCTTCTGAGCGACACAGCAGCGCCTGTCTTGACTCACAAACCTCTACATCGACTTTATCGTTCCACGTGCGGCTTACCGAAGAATAACCCCATGTTAAGATCAATTAGCCGCGATCAGGAGGATCGCAGCACAACGCGGGCGGATTGCCGCACAGTGGGACAGCACTTGAGACCATCGCCACGATTTTTGTGATCTAAGGAGATCTGGAAACCACTGCGGAATTCTGGAAACAGTTGTACTCTCCCACCATGGCGACTACAGACCTCGCGCAGTCGACGCTGTACCCCAAGATCACGACACACATCCCTGAGATCATCGAGCAGCTGCGACACTTGAACCGCGACACTGTCCATCCAGAAGCAAATGTCACCGTGGAGCCTGTATCTTTTGTCGGTACAGTTAAACTTCATGGCACGCACGCAGATATCCTCGTATACCCTGATAACCGCATCGTTTTCCAGTCGCGCAACATAATTGGTCTGTCCGTCGCAAAAGATAACCAAGGGTTCGCAGCAAGTATGTCAGAGAAGACCGCGGCTGTACTCGGACTGCGAGATGTGTATTTGGCACGATGGAAAGAGTTGAATCCTGGCACAAGACTCGGAGAAGACTCACCCGTTGTGATGGCTGGCGAATGGATAGGCGAGAAGATACAAAAAGACGTCGCAATTGCCCAACTATCACGTCGCTTCGTCATCGTCTCGGTCAACATCAATGGTACATGGCAAAAGGACGAAGCATACTCTGATATCTCCTTGCCGGCTCATGGCATCTACAACGCCTCTAGAGCCGGCGTCTTCCACACAACACTCTACCCAGACGACTACGAACGCACAGTATCAGAAATCGAACGTATGACCGAAGAAGTCGCCGCTCACTGCCCTTTCGCAGCGACTTTCGGTATATCCGGCTTGGGCGAAGGCATCGTTTGGAAACCCGTACCTCGCCAGTACAACGGCAACACTTCTCTATGGTTCAAGAGCAAAGGGGGAAAGTTCAAACCCACATTCTTCCGCATTCCAAAACAACATGAAGGCGCCGATATCATCAAAGAGCGACGCAGAGCAGCCGCAACAGTAGCAGTTGCGTGGTGCTCCCAGCAGCGGTTAGAGCAAGGCTGGGATGTGCTGCGTGAGAAAGGTGTTGAGCGCGATGTGAGAGCACTGGGCGACTTTTTGAAGTGGATACAATGTGATATTCTGGAGGAAGAGAAGGGACATATCAAAGGGCATGGTGTGGATGAGGCGGCGTTGAAGATTGAAATTGCTAAGATTGCCAAACCATGGTATAGGGCAAAGCTTAGGGAGTGCGACGCCAGGTGATGCCAGACAAATTAGATGAAGACCATAAGGAAGAGGCTTGCTGGACGTTGATTGCGAATGATGCGCACGCACGACGATGGTTTGTGCTCTTGTGACGAAAGTCACAAACTTCTGGCACGCTTTATTAAGGCATCATCGCTCCCTTGGATCGCAACAATACAATATTCTCATTGCTCCTTCGGTTTTCATCACGTTCACAAAATTCGACCCTACTCACAGCGGTCCACCCTAGAATGTCTGAAGCACTCAACGACGCTTCGGGCGACAGGCCCCCACAGATGCCCGAAAAATACACCTGGCTTCGCGACGCTGCTTCGTCTACGTACTGTTTTGTCAGTCTGTGTGTTCCCACCTCCGACATGGATGATGCGCGTTCCAAACTGGCTGCGAACGCCCAAGAGAACTCAGTCGTCGATGCACTCCTTAGGCGCGTCGTTGCAGTAAAGATTCCCGGAGAAGGCTCTACCCAACCTACGATGCATTCCGAATTACGCATTCTCCAAGAGATACACCGCCAATCGTATTCTCGCAGCGGCGGTGAGCACTGCATTGAAGTAGTTGACCACTACGACATGGAAGCTATGGCCCAAGGGGAGCCAGGTTGGCTGGTCATGGCAAGCTCACCAGTTTCTAGTGATCTTGAAGGACTCTTCGTATTCGACACTAGGGACAAGCTTCCAAAATGCCTACTCTGGCTCATCATTACGCAGCTCTATAAGACAATCTACTTCCTACACCGCGAATGTAAACCGACTATCACACATGGCAGTGTTTTAGCGGAGGACATTCTTATCAGCTTTCCCTACGAAGAACAGAAGAATGGCGAGGTTACCATTGCTAAACGCCCTAAAATCAGTCTCGTAGGATTTGCGAATAGCTGCATCCATGATCCTACGAACTCTCCAGATGGGCTTGAACGCAAGGCTCGGGCAGAGGAAGAAGATGTCGAAGCTCTGGCCTCTTTGATTCGAAAGCTCATCTATAGGTGCTACGAGCATGAAAATGTATACGATGGCAAGCCAGGAGGGAAGATGACAAGGCTCGTGCGAAAGTATCTCAAAGATGATGCGCCAGAAGAGGTGAGGAAGTTTATGCAGCGGGATGCGCGAGACTTGGAGGGCGTATGGGCTGCTATCGGGGTATTCGCTAAGGAAAAATTGGGGAAAGTCAGGAATGAGGAGTGGGAAGAGGTGCGGGACTCGGTTGATGAGGTTGCTGAAGGGAAAGTAAAGTTGAGCGACCTTGTCAAAGGCGTTCTGAGTGATCAGTCAGCGAAGAACTAGGTGGCTAGCCAAGGTCCATTTCGTGTTGATAGATACTGGAATCTCGAGAATGGGTGGCTTCTCATCTGTTACAGATCTTGCTGCGTGTGTTGATATGTCACTGTGTGCTTACGCTCCTACAAGTTGTCTCATTCAAGTTCCTCGAAACGAATGAACAAACCTCATTGTGTATGTTTCACTCTAAGTACTCGACGCGTTCCTCTCACCATCTACTAAGCTCAGTGGTTGGACTTTTGTTTCTCAAACGTCCAAACCCACTCCAGACAACGCCCGTTCCCTTGTGTGTACTCCCTCATATATCCACTCCGCTTGCCCCCGGGAATTACCAGCTCAGCCGCACGAGAGAGCTCTTTCTTCCAAGCATCTAAGTAATGATCTTCCAGACGCCTAGCTTTATTTGCGCTGTCGGTCTCCCCTCGCAAACTCCAATACCACACAAGCATTTTAGTATCATCAACGACGCCAACGAGGTGAACCTGGAGACGACGAAGCTCGGTATGGCTAGATAAGATTTCGAGGCCAGAGAGGTTAAAAGTAAAGTCTGCCGCGCTGTTGGCGGCTAGCCGTTCGTTGGTTGGGCGGACGAGTTTGATGCAAACAGTGTCTAGCGGAGTCGAAGAATTAGCTGTCGCGGCGCTTCTATTGATTTCAGCCCGTGCTACTTCGCTGAGCCGGTAGACTCGCTTCACGTCATCGAAGATCATCGGCCAGTCGCACTGGATGAAGATCTCGTGCGTGTGGCACTCTGATGGAGTGATGGCGTCTAGGATATAGCTTTGGGGATGTGTGTCTGATATTCGGTTATCCAGGTGCCACGTTGACTTCTGGTGTAGCTGTCGGATGCCTTCGCGCATCATCTGCTTGTTGGTAAGAAGCCATGGGATCTTGTCAACAGCAGATGGTGCTTCAACCGAGTCGTGCCTTCGATCATAGGTTACCTTGTAGTCTTTGATATCATGCCGCTGGACAAAGGTCTTTGTATCGCACCAGAGGTAGTCGTAGATGATATCGCGGACTTCGGTCGGCAAGGTCGTGAAAAATGGAGAATTCGACATTGGAACGGTCGATGATCTTGATTTTCGATATGCTGTCGAAGACCCTGGTTAACTTTCGCTTCAGTTCTTGACGGAGTTGAGAGATTGCCGCGGAGACTTAGGCGAACTATGATCGTGAGATCCAATGGGGCTAGGCATTGTATATATCGGTAAAGGGAGCACTATGAAAGCACTGTCCAACGGTGTGGATCAGCAACACAGCGTGAATTGCGCATTGATGACCGTGCACACAGATGTAGCGCAGATATCAGTCGCATATATTGTTGGTACTGGGTAGTCGACTGGCCAGGGTGGCGGCTTCGATGCCACACTTGATCCAGTCCTGTTGTTTATTGATTGGGAAGACCTCAGAGAAATACGATATACCTCATGTTGAAAACAGGCGAATAGTGCAACCTAGATTGTGAGTCTGAGTATCGTCTCAACCCGCATTGCTGAACACCAACCCTAGATACGCACTAGTATTTCCGAGTTCATCTCGAGCCGAATGCAGACGCAAGCCTAGGAGAGAGATCAATGGACAGACGAAGAGGTAGCTGTCAGTAACGCAAGACGAAGACGAAGGCGCAGTATCTGGGTGTGCCAGCATCGCCACTGTCGTGGAGGATATGGTAAGAAGAAGGTGTGGAAATCGCGCCTTCGAGCAGGCAATGCTGGTTGCCGCAATGACGTTTCCCACGCGCACCGACCAGCCCCGCCAAACGCGAACCTGTCGCGTCCTCACGTCGCGTCAGGTACGCCACCCAGCCTTGTCCCCGCACGGGAGAAGACATGTATAACGCTGTTCGCGACTCTATGAACAAGGCACGTTGTTGAGAATGAGCATGCCCAGCCCACACAGTGCAAGACCTCAGAAGACGCAAAGATAGGATTGTAATCATTATGATTTGATACTGGGACTCCACGACAGAGTTTACAGGAAACTATCTACTTCAACACCTCCAGGACACCAGTTCTCGCAACGCTATGATACAAAAGACAGAACAATGAAAGAGCTCTGCCTGCTACACCGTCTAAAACCCAATATTTACAAAGGAAAACAAAGGAACGCCAAATAATGCTGGTGATGATGCAGAACAAAAACGGAAAAGAGTGATGTTAGGGAAGTTTCTAATTCCCCCTACCAAGCAACTTCTTGCCCAGAGCTTTCGCCTTCTTCGTCTTCGGACCATCGGTATCCTCTTCCATGACGCTGCCTTCCCGTCCACTCATACCACTGACGCCACTAATACCAGTGGCTACACTCGCAGCTCGCATGCTGGCTGCGCCGCTACCCGCTCTGCCTCTCATGTGCCCAGCGAAAGGTGCGCTGACCCCAGCGATGTGTTTACTCAAGCTATGAATGAGGTTTGCGTGGACTGGCTCTGTGTTGTCTACTCTCGACAGCTCATCAGCAAAGGCGCGACCGTCGTCGACGTCTTCGGGGCCTAGTCCGTTGCTATGATGATTCAAGCCACCCATGATGGAACCGTGTGTCGAACGCGCTTGATTGGACGTCGAAGGTGGTTTTGACGATTGGAGAGATGACCCTTCTTCCGAGACGGTGCTGATGAGACTACCTTGGCGGCCGGATGCGAAAGAACGGCGGGGCATGCGGTCTTCGGCTGAGAGATCGGAGCCACCGGGGGAGTGGTCACGCATGGAGTTTGAATCGGTGCCAGAGAGATCGGGAGAGGTGTTGAGCATCGTGCTGCTGTTGGCGAGCTGTCGGAGGCGCGACTGTGCTTTGGCTGAGGGTCGGTGGTGCGAGATCTTGTTGCCAACGATTGTACCGGCATGGGAGAGGAGAGCTCTCAAGACGTCTTTCTTGAGTTGCGTGACGAGGTCTAGGTTAGACCATGTCTTGTTGCGGTACTCAATTGTTGGCATCCTGAAGACCAGATCATGGACATCTTCAAAGTTACGTGTGCTCTTGCCCTTGTAGGAAAGACACAGTACCATAGACGGGATCTTGAAGTAAGCAACTGTCATGTACTCGCTCGCACGACTCATCATCTCAGTCAGATCGTCACTTCTGGCTTCCTTCTTGTTGGTCTTCTTCTCCCCCAGGTTGGTGCCGGTGCGGTAGAGTGCAAAGCGTTTCGCGGTTCGATCAGACTCGTTCAAAGTCTGACTTGAGTTGGTGGTACTTGAACGGACGGAGCTTGGTCTTGTGGAGGTATTGGAGCTGTTACCCAATGTAGGAACGACCAAGGCGGAGCTCGGGTGAAGAGTGCGACGAAGCTCTGTTCCACTACGAGAAGGATTGCTGTCTTTGAAGAATCGGAAATAGTGAGCGCTTGGGCGCTTAACCAAGCTCTTCCTCTTTGCGTCGGACTTCTGTACAGGATCGGGCAGCTGAAGTGTGGGTGTAAGTCGTTGTTTGAGCGCTTCCACAGCGCCGTCATCAGCTGCAAGCGAGGCGCTCATACTTGTCGCTCCAGAAATGATGCTATCGGTTTCTTCGTCTTCCTCATCCTGAGTCGGCAGAGTATGCTTGAGTAAGAAGGGCGACGAGTTCGCAGTCTTGCTGTCACCGTACGTAGGGAAGACATATTGCAACAGCTTCTTGCCGATCTGGTACTCCAACTGCACCTTTAGTGGATACAACTCAACTTCAAAGTGCTCTACGACAGGGATACCAGCGATCGATTCAAGCGCCACAAAGTACACCTTGAGGCATTTAGCGTTTTCCGGAAGAGTCTGATCTTGCTCCAGGAAAGGTGAAATCATCTCTGGGTATAGGGCGTTAGGTAGCAAGTTCAGACCTCGCACTTGCTCAATCTCCAAAGAGTTCGAGTTGGATCCATCGTTGTTGTCTGTGCGGTCGAATGCGACGTTCTTCAGTTGGAATTCTGCTAGTGACTCTGCGCCTTCGCGAAGCAGATGCCAAACGATGTCTGATGCAGAGACATACATCCGCAAAAGGCCAGTTGAGTCTCTTGCTTGAGCACGATCGTCTTGCTTGCGTTGTGCGGTCGTGATCGCCTTCATGACGAAGAAGAGCTCGTCCTCGTAGACAGCCAAGTCTTTCTCAACTTCAATCCTATCTTCCCAACCTTGCTTGTCCAGGTATTTCTCGTTGATCTGGAAGACATTTTTGATCTCTTCTAATTGCTGGATACGCTCTTGAAGACCCATGACTAGCTTTGGAGCTCCTGCGAGATCGGTGAAGTCGGAAGCAAGCATGATCTTCTCGAGTCGCTCATTACGCGTCTTTTCCAAAGGCTCGTGGTACAGCAAAAGATCCAATACGATGACGTACATCGCATAGTACTGCCTGGAATCGCACAGGGCCCGCACGTGTGGGAAGTCCACCCATAGATGGTCAATACGGCTCTCCATGTTGTCAGCAGATGTGGCCGAGTCGGCAGCCGAGACATCGTCGTTGTACTTCAGGCGCAGCGCGTTGTGCTTGTCGTAGCGCATACTGGCTGAAGTTCGCTGTACCACCCGCTGGAAGCCGAATGGATTGCTATGGAACTCGAACATGACCTCGAAAGGTACCCATGGTGGCCACGCTGAGCCAGCTGGCGTTCCGTACATGCTTCCGGAGTACATGTGGATATCCTCCGGACTGCTAAAGGTCTTTGAGTTGGTGACGAAGATTTGCAAGCTGTCCATAGCTGCGATGAACCTTCGTTGAACGAGACCCGAGACCTCGTCCATGACACGGTCCTTGTCCATGATTTGTAGAACCTTGAGCTGCATGCCTTTGGCCGTGACAAGTACCGCAGACTTGGTGTCTTTCTCGCTCTGCAATTGGATCTGCGGTGCAATCAAACGTACGAGATACGAGTTCTGAGAGACGTAATCGTCCGCGACATCTTCATCCGCTTTTGTCGGATTCGCATGTGAAGGGTCACCAGCACCGTTGGATGCACCGTTGGTGCTCTTGCTTTTAGCGTCTTCCTCATCAGCGTCGACAAAATTCCTGCCGTCGCGAAGCAACTGCTCGATTGTTTCGTCAATATTCAGTCCGGCCTCGTTGTCGCCAGCCATGGGTGTTTCGTCAGGTCCAGATGTAGATGGTCCACGAGACTTATTCTGCTCTTCAACAACATCGAGTATGAACTTTACTGCCCTTCGTGACATGTAGTAGACGAATCCTCGACGTTGACTGACTTGGTGTATGTAGCGGAGTATGATGTTCCGTAGGGAGTTGCCCCACTTCAGGTGGATGTTGTGAATGATGAACCGGTTGTTGAAGTCGTTGGTGAAGTCCGTGATAGGGTTAGGAGGCGCATCAGCGTGCTTGTGTTCAGGGTCGATAGCATTTTGAGCTTCGTCTGCTTCAAAATACTCATCTTCTGTGTCGGTATCAGGCTCTGCGACAGTGTTGTCTGGTGAAGACGCGGCAGTTTCTAGCCGCTCCAGCAGACTAGCATGCATCGTAGAGAGGAATTCTAGTTTCCGTTGAAGGAACTGGGAATGATTACGCAGAGCCTCAAGACGGCGTTGCGACTCTTGTTGCATGTCTGACGTCTCACGAACGACTTTTAATTCTTGGTCGTTGATTGCATGCTGGTTAAGAGCTACCTGCTCTTTCACACGTTCAATCCGTTGCTCAATCAATTGACATTGTACCCGACGTGGGTCATTCCTTGCCGAAATGACACAATGATGAGTCGGCTCGTTACCGAATGCGCTCTTGCGGTGTTTGTCGCCCGAAATGTTGTTGGCATGATCGGTTTGACGGAAGTACGTAAATCGTGGCGCGAATGCTAGCGGGAGAATCTGTGTTTCCGGATGCCGGCGTGACGGTAAGATCCAGCCAAGTTCAATGAAGTCGTCCATATCGACCCAGCCTAGGTCGTTGTCGGGAATCGTAAACTTCGACAAGTCGGCTGTTAGATACTCCTGGTTGTAGCTAGCGAGATCATCCGCGGTGGCGTTATCAACATCTTCAGAGCCTGTTCCTGCAATGCTTGCAGACACCGCTCGGATGTCTGTCCGGATGAGGTCAAGCTGTACTTGATTGATGCGCATACCAGTCGTCTTGTTTTGCCTGCTGTTTTGTTGGCCTTCAGGCGCTTGGACCAAAGTTCGGAATTCTTCGCGGCGCTGATGGAGATCGAACATGAAACTGTCGAGACGGGCCTTCAGTCCAGTGGCGGCCACAACGCCTGCACCATAGTCTTCCGCATCTTTGTGCTTGTAGATATGGCTCATGTACAGAGGCGATAGCAAGAGGTTGTACTTGATGGTTGCAAGGTGCCGCCCGAATTTCTTGCTAGACTTCTCTACTCCTGGCCACAGCTTGCCCTGGCGTACGGGCAATGACATGGCACCGGAGAACATCGACCACCAGCTGTAGAAGTGTGTGAAGAAGCGTGGTGAGAGATGCACACTGTTGTAGGTCTTTGATGGTTCTAAGTTAGCGACAGACCATTCTCGATCGTATGGAGCAGCGATAGCGATAGACATGTGGATGTGGTGACTGCGGAAGCCTCGGAAAGCGTCATACTCCTGCACGATGTCAGCAAGAGCTTCGAATTCAAGAGACGGGTTGATGACCTTTCCATTGGATGCTTTCGCATACTTTGGATTCTTGAGGGTGACATTGTAGTGGGGTATGAAGTTGAAGGAACGGCCGCCGTCGTCCAGGTTGCGCTCAAATACCAGTCCGGCAACCCAGCGCACATTGCCGTTCAATTTCATTACTGTTTTCTTGAAGACGGCTCTCTGCCTACGACTAGACATGCTCGATGCAGTATCTGGACGGGCCACAGCTTCAGTCTCCGCGTCGTGACGAGCAAAGTGATTGAGATCCGGAATGGCGAGCACGTAGCTTCCGCTCTTGACGATCATGAAGTTTTTAGGGTCTTCGTCCTCAGCAATGCTGAGTTGCACGTCGTTTTGCCAGCACATGACAAAGCCCGCACCGTGACCTGTGACCATGTACGGATCGCGTGAACCTGCATTCCGTTAGTAGAGTGATTATACAGGATGCGTTGTGTCTTACCTTTAAGAATCAGATGGACGTCGCCATCGCCCTTCCACGACACGTTGATGCGCGAGTGGAAGGTCAACCTAATCTTGTCCCAGAATCCAACCCTCTCCGAAGGGTCTACAGCTGGCTTTGTGAAATTCTCAATGATTTGCATCATATCCTGGATTGCCGGCTGGTATGACGTGCCCCAAGTAATCCTTGTCGGGTATGCTGAGTTGATATCGATCGCCATGTCAGAGTATGTCTTCACAGGCGCCACAGTCCGACGAACGTCCACCGCGTATCCACGTGTGAGCTCGCCTGCAGAGTTCCGCTCCTGTGGTACGACAACAACTCGGCTGACGCGAGAAGATTCAACGTCCCTGAACTCTTCTGCTATCACGAAGTCTGTCTTCATCAAGACGCTCGGTAGTCGGGACGACTGTATACTGCCGATAGCCGGGAAGTGCAATAGCGGTAGCGGATAATCGCGAAGGTGGATCTTGGCTTCTCCCATCTGTATTTGAACGTGCATGGGGATCAAAAGAGCGTACTGCGTATCAAATGGCATACCTTTGCCGACACGGTGCAGGAAGCGTGGGTACTCCGAAATGGGGAACGAGGGCTTGTCAATGACAATCTCCAGGTCGCTGACAGCCAGCGCCATCAGGGCTGGGCGTTGCGAGACAGCAAGAATGGTTTCCTTCTGCTCAATGTCATCCGGCAGTTCGTCTAAGCCCCAGAATGTCGAGCGGATGTCGTTCATGGATCGATTCTGGGTTGCCATTGCGAAATCGATACGCTTTTTCCACGTCTGAGCGTTGAGGCGATTAAGCTTCACGCGCGCGTCCTGTACCGATGTTTCATATGACCCACTAAGACCGCTAAAACCATCCTTGTTATACCGCATAGGATGATCTGAACGTCCCCGTTCTGGTGAGCTATGTCCGCTCGAGTCCGCGCTCTTCGTGCGTCGGTGGAACCTCAGCTCTTTGTCCCTCTTCTTGATCTTGTTCCGGCCCCGAGGATCATGTGCTGATCTTGCGCGGTACCGTGTACCGCCTCGTTGTTCGTCTTGCTGTTGTAGTTTCCGCACTTTCAGATCAAAGGCGTGTTCACGAGCAAGTCTCTGCTTCTGCTCCATGAGTCCGATACGGTAGATGGTTCCGAGCTTCCATTCAAAGGCGTTGTCTTCCAACTCGAAGAGGACAGCGCGGCTTCGGAGCGATATCTTTGGTACGATTTTGGGGCCTTCGGCCTCTTTGTCCAGTACGTACTCATTGGTTCCAGTCTTAAAGCGATGATGCACTTGCTTGGCAGTCTTCGCGACGTTCGCGACATTGTCAAAGATTTTGTGCATGACGAGTTGATGAGGCACAGCGATTCTTATCGCGTCCGTCGCTATGTCGAATGACTTTTCGTTCGTTACAGTGTGACCGTACCTGAGCTTGGACTGGCGATAATCCAACCGCAAAGATTTGACACTGACGATTCGACTCCAAGCGCGTTTGATGGCAGGGTTCTCGGCGAACAGTCGCACTAGACGTGCGCGAAGGAAGGGGCTGGCCCAGCGATGCTTTCCCGCCTCAAGTCCATAGATCTGAAGCATGAGAGGTGGATCTCCGGGCATGTCAGCTTTGATCTGGAAAAAGTGAGATTTGACATCGATCGTCACGATCTCGTTGCCGGCTGCGCTGGGTGGGTCAACGACATCCTCACCCAACGACGGTACGGACAGATGCCGTGGCGAGCTGGACGAGCTTGGCTCTGGAGCCTTGGTCTTGCCCGCACCCCAATCAAACGACCTTTGCAGGACCTGCATTGCCATGCACAAGGCAAAGTGACGATAGAGCGAATAACGCAAAAAGAGGTTTTGGCTGTAAGAGTGCACGTGAAATATCGGGCCCTGTTTATCGGAGAGCGTGTGTAGAGCAATCTCCATACGGGGCAGCGACAACGTTGGTTCTTGTTCCGATTGCTCGTCGCCCTCGATGACCAAGCCTTCTAGCCCGTAGAAATGTAACGCAAGACGTCTACCATCGGTTGGGCCGTTCAATGTTCCTTTCGGTGACTTCGGCGAAGATGGAGGCGGTGATCTAAGCAGATGCTCCTCGCGATTGATGCTTCTACTTGGTGCGCGCCGTCTTGCAGGTCTTAGATCTATCTCTTCTTCCCGTCCAGTTTTGTATTCGGCAGTCCAAGATTCCAAATGCAGAGCAACTCCTCGACTTTGTTTAGATACATCAGGATCTATTCCAGCGACGTCCACGTTGAAGTCCGATCCTTGGAGATGTACGTATGTCATCCAGGCCGGTAGTCTCCGGAGTACGTTGACGCCCTTCTTTCTGGGAGGGCTTCGCCGACGGCCCATGTCCTTTGACATCTGTGTGACGATCTGCCGCAGTCCTTCACTAATTTCAGGCCGAACCATGTAGAGAGAGAAAGTTTGTGCGGTGCCCCAGACTTCCACAACTGGGTCGGGAGCCGCACTCATCTGGACCTTGACTTCGAGATAGTCGGTCAAGAGCAAGTTGTGTTTCTCGATGGCGGCGGTCTGGTAGTAGAGTTGCTGTGCGTTCATACGGAAAGTCGAGCTCAGTGCGTAATGCAACTCGCCATCCGCAGAGTGCGAGGACTCCATGTCCAAGGAAATTGAGGAAGATGCAGAGATGAGTAGATCGAACTCGTCGGCCTCATGCTTGTCGGGGTCCATCGGTGGTAGAGTTACCCGGATGACAGGTTCATGGATGGATATTTTGATGTTCGCTTTGGGCAAGAGCCGGCGAAACAGATATCGCTTACGTTGTCTGGTTTCAGGCGGCTTGCGGTGCAGCTCGTAGTTGTGGAAGATAGCGAGGAGTAGTGGTAGATGCTTGGGGTCAAGATCCAGAGATGGTGATGTGACGACCAGGTTGGCGAATAGTATGTTGGTGTTGCGCTCGGCACTATCTTTGTCATTAGAGAAATGAATAGTTTTAGAAGGAAGAGTCGTGTTCAGGGTCATGGTCGCCATAGGAACGTATAGGAGGCGTTCGGGATGGCCATCGCTGTTGTCGATTCCGACAGATATGGATATGGCAGCAAGAAGAGCCTGGTGGGCAATGTCGTCGGGCGAGAAGTACATGAGATGCGCGGGACTGCGAGGATCGAGGCGGAGGAGGTCCATGCCGACTTCCTTCATGGAGAGATTAAGGTAGACTGGAGGCTCGGAGCTGTGGCCCATTTCGATCTGCTTGGTGAGGCCGAGGAAGCCAATCGCGAACTGAAATTCATGGATACCGCGGAGGATGGAGCTGGCGAACTCACGCGAGTCGGATACGGTACGGACGAGGTTTTCTTCGCGGCTGTTGGGGTCGTCGAGCTCTTCCATCACATCGCTGAGCGATACATGTGTCCGACTGCCACGAGATCGCTTCCGAGGGACAGGCGCGCGACACTTCTGGGCCCTTTCCATGCACAGCTTGACATCGTCGAGTGGAATGAGGAGGCGACCCAATTTGAGTGCGATAGATGCATCGCGCAGACCCTCGAGGCCTTTCTTGAGGAAGCCGTGGACGTTGAGGGTACAGTGATCCAGTAGTTCGGTCGACTCCCTGCCCTCTGGGGTGAAGAGGATGCTGCGGGCGGAGAAGAGCCATTCGGCGGGCCACTGCTCCTCGTCGGACTTGGGCTTGTGGTGGTTGAAGAGGCGACTGCGATCGACCGTCTTGCGCCGTGTGTCGACTGCTAGGTTAAGGCCGCCGACCTGGATGGAGCCCACGTCGACTACGACCAGGGTGGTCGCGTGAGCCACGACATCGATCTGCCTGAGCCAGTTGATGTTCCGGTGCAGGCGCTTGATCTTCTCCTTGGCATCTGTCAGCCGCTTCCACGTCAGGCTTCGCGGTGTCTCGTCATCGCCCAGCTCGTCGTCCTCGGCCACAGGCTCGGGCGTGTTCTGGCCGCTCTTGCCCTTTTGTGTTGTGCCGTTTGCCCAATGGGCCCATCCCGTCTTCTTCCGCGGTTTCTCTCCCAGCGCTTTGAGGTCGACCGTGACCTTGAGCTCGTGCAGGACGATGCTGACTACCGTGGGTTGTGCGAATGTGGGTCGGTGAAGGGTGAAGCCGAGTCCGCGGATCTCGATGCGCAGGCCATCCTTGGGCGTGAAGGCGATGCGTCGCAGCCCCCGTAAGCCCAGGCGCTGTATGGAGACCCCGGTGGCGATGCGTATAAAGGCGAATAGGACAAAGGAGAGCAGGTATATGAGGAGCACGAGCCCCGCGAGGAACTGGAGGGTTGGCAGCGCCATGATGCTGCTTCAACCGTATGCCATTGACCGAGTCGAGGATTATCGAACGAGGTGGTCGCGACTGCACGCGACGTGCCTGAGTGATGGGAGCGTCGACTGGCGGAACATAATCGAAGGGAGCGCGGGCGCAGGGCTACGAGGGTTGCTGCATCGAGGGCGAGGGTGTACGTAGGTGAAAGCGCGGACTTAACGGTCGGGGCAGATGAAAGCGGCCAAAGCGGCAGGCCCGGATCGCGTCGCTGCGTCGTAGCGGCTGTCGCTAGTGAAAAATTGAGGGCGAACAGGAGGATCTCGATCTAGCAAACTCGATGTAGGCCCTCTCCAGACGCTCTGCGGGGCTCCGTATTTGCTTCGCTTGGTGTCTTGTGCTGATGCCGTCAGATTTCCAGGTTCCCACGCTTCGTCGGCACAGCATCCCTGCACTGCCAAGACCCACCCGCGTACCGGGAAGGAGCTTAAACGCTCCTGCCACGCGACTGTCACCCAACGACACATCTGCGTGCTGGCTGAGTCACGCTCACGTGCCACAAACTTGTTCTGGCATGACTGTGTATTTCCGCGGTGTTAGGCTGAATGGCTTTCCAAGCTGAACCAACCCAATCGTCCATCTAGTCAGTCGTTCCTGCCAAGCACGACCGGTCGCGGCTGTCTGCATACGTGGGACGACAGATCCAGGAACCTCATCCCGCATTACGGCCGAACTGCAACGGCGTCGGAATAAAGAGACGCTATCCTTGCGGTGGATCATTGCCTATGAACCCTTCAAAACTTCTCCAAGTTATCCCAGTTTCATTTGTACACGCACTCGTCCCAGTGCTGTCGGTGAACTTGACTGGATGATTGTCCATCGATGTCACCTTCCTCTACGCGTTCAATGCGGCTTCCTCGAGGCCTCGCGCCTTCGCAACAGCTGCTCATCCCCCGGTATCCGGCAGGAAGCGCGTGCAAGTAGAAAGAAGCGAACGATGCACCTCGAACTTGGAAACGTCGCACCTCTATCACCATAGCACATCACATCGCCAGAACATGGTTGTCCGCAATCCTCACGCAAATATACATAGTGCAGCTCCGGTTGGGAGTGCAGAAAACACGCTACCCATCATTCTTCCGCCACCCCATCCCACAGAATTCTTCCGCTACGCGGATCCCACCGGCTTCACCTACATATATGCATTCTCGCTGAACGACGCACAAAACCTCATCTCCGAAAGCGACCCCGATTACAAAGCCAAGTCGCCCATCGCAGTCTTCTAGGCACGAACAGCGGATGTCGCCGACAAGCCCAAGCCACCATGGCATGTTATCAACCCAGCTCTACCCGTCGCTAATTCCAAGATGCTTTGGAAACAAAATAATCGTCGCCCAAAAGCCATGGTTGTTTGTCGGGAAGATTTCCGCTCGGCGTCGGGCGAAATGATCCAAAGGGAATACCATTGGCGAGATTGGCAACGCAACAACAAGGCTAGGTGCTTTGTAAGGGATTCGCCAAGCGTGGCAAGCACAACGGGTATCAGACCCGCTGCACCATGGATTCGGGATACGAAAACAGCATGGGCTCACTAGGAGGAGTGTCGGGATCGGGCTACACTTGCACGATTTGACGGTAAGTTTTGACTGCACAAAGTGCATGTGAAACATACACTGACTTCGTACCTCTACTGCTGCAGTACCCAAAAGAGGAGCAGGAGCACCTCGGGTTCCGAGGCCTCTTGACAGCAAAATCTTCATACCTCATGCCTGATTGACTAAGAGGGCATTGTCCGACTTCTTGCTACGCTGGTGCGCAACTGAGGACTCAATGCCTAGTGCCCGTCAGTTTGGACTTTGCGGATTCATGTATTCATCCACTGATCAAATTCTTCTCTGCCGCTTACAGACGTTCATGCTGTCTTTTTCATCGTTTCACTAAGTGATTGTCCAATATTACTTATCCAAGCAACACGTTCTTCCATATGTTCTTTAGTCGACAGCGATCTCGGACACCTACCGACCCAACTTTTGCGGTGCACTCATTCCACGACACGGCTTGGCAATTATCACCAGCATCCTGGTAATCGTATCGTGAAGCCTTTGATATCCATCATATCATATCGAATTCCATATTGATGGAAGGTCATGGAGGTCTCAACTTGCCGACACCTTAGGGATTTGTTCTCAGTGTTATGAAGATGTGGAAGGCGGTGACGTCATAGCAGGGCGCGCTCAGGTCGAGCCACGAACCACCATTCTTACGCCGTCAATCTCATCACCACAACGCGATGCGCTGGCATTACTCTGACTCTGACGCGTCTTTTATATTTCACAGAACAATGTGGAATTTAATGCGCATTTGACACGTGAGCACTGGCATTGTGTTCGCGTTCTACGGGTTATTGACTACGAAACAGTCGCTAAGAGAACGCAGGTCGATGCATCACGTCCTAGCGAGTGCGCCTGCCACTCAACCATGAACCAAACTTGTCGCATGCACTTTGCGGAAGTGTCACCGCACGTCAGTCGCGACACATAACCTCGGGACCGCCTTCGCTGCTGCAGGGACGTTGTTAGCTTCGAAGGAGCTCTGACCGTTGGCCATGATGTCCGGAAAGAGTGAATGGCTAGACTGCAGCGACTGCAGCGAGAGTTGCTACGTCGGATCTCAGCCTCAGGACCCTGCCTTTTGTCAACACTCCCGTGCGAGAACCCCTTGTTTGTCTGTCAGCCTTCATTTTGAAATACTTACACTCGACATATACGCCGCTACATCCTAATCTACCTTGGTAGGCTTGGATACTTCAAATCAATCATCTACAATATGCGCACCCGGCCCGACGTCTGCGAGCGGCTAGGCGGCTGCCCGAACCCGGCTCTCATATACTACGCCTTCTCAGATAATTGGCTGTGCGGCTACTGCATCGGGGACATGCGAATGGGGCTCCCGTTGTGTACAGAGGATGGCTGGAGACGTGGCAGCTGCGTTGACACCGACAGTCAGCAATGGTTTTGCAACTCACATGCAAATCGTTGCGAAGCCCTCGTTGGCAGACCACAAGGTCAATCTATCGGGAATTCACATCGATGTATGCGTATTGGGGTTCTCTACGAAAGCAATCAGTTTGACCGGTACTATTGCACCGAGCACATGCCAGATAATCAAGGACTACATGATACTGAGCCAGTTGCGGACGTAGTGATCAGCCCTCCAACGATCTCGCAGACTCTCCTCTCCACACCACATCTCGCGAGTGTAGTCTCAGTACCACGAGACCACCCAGTAACAGCAGTAGCTACACCACACCTGGCAAGTCATCACAATTTGGACATCTTTTCGACTGTGGTGGATACGGAATGTTGCATTTGTCTCGAGCCGCAACGAAGCATGCGTCGACTTATCGCCTGCAATCACATGTTCTGTGAAGAATGTCTGTCGAAGCAGGTCAACGGGCCATATGAGAGGGCTCATGACTGTCCGCTTTGTCGGAAAGATATCTTTGATATGAGAGGTACGGAGTAGGAGACAATGTGAGTGAGATGGGGACCACGGGTGGTTACACCTCTCAAGATGAGCAGGCTCAACTTTAATTACCTGACTTCTCCATCTTCTGTCGCCTCCATTGTTCGCTCTTCAATCATACTGCGCATTTCCTCGGTTAGCAGTACAAGGCAGTCAGAATCATGTTGGTTAATTCTTCAAGCGCTCTCACTGTTCCCCACTGCATGATGAGGTCTCCTCTCACGTCGCCGTCCGCGAGCGTGTTTGTTTGCTACTTTAGCCCCACTTCTACAGCAAACTTGAGATCCCAACTCCGACTCAAATCCCTCTTTCTTTGTGTCACCTGCGACGCATACGAAATACCTCTGCCGCAACCGCCATCACAATGGCTCAGCCCGCGACACCAGCCCGCCGCACGTAAGTGTCCCTCCTACTGACGACGGCGTCTATTACAAACGACATACTGACATCTCCGGCTCTCAGGCTCTACAACGACCCCACGTTCTCCGACATCAAGATCCGCCAGATATACAAGGGCAAAGTCAAGGAATATTCGGCGCACAAGGCTGTGCTCTGCGCTCACTCGGGTTGGTTCATGGCAGCTTTAACTGGCCGCTTCAAGGTACGTATCAACTCCGGAAGTGGAGGAACAGTGAGTTAATACAACATCTACAGGAAGCCTCTGCAGACACCATCGAAGTCCACGAAGACGATCCGGACACCTTTCAAACCATGATGGAGTTCTTCTACAACATGGACCTCAAGATGTCACCCCCGTGTTATGACATCGACAAGTTCATTAAGACCGATGTCCTCCCCATTATTTCACTTCACGCTCTCGCCGACAAGTACGACGCCAAGATTCTACAGGAGACCGCTATATCTGCGTTCAAGACCCGAACCAGCAAAATTCGTGAATCTCCAGGAATCAAAACAGTACATACGCTGGTACACGCATATTATTCGGCTTGCTCGGTAGTTCGGAGTGGTATGGGTGAAGCTATCGTCCAATACATCTTCAAAGCACCTCGCTATGACTTGGAAAACGGAGAGTACGACAAGCTATGCATGCAGTATAGTATTCTTGGCGCCGACTTCTATCTTGTTGGCATAGCTGATAATAAACTGGAATATGCTTGACCGTTATTCGGGTTGCTCGCTGGTTCCAAGACGCCTAAGAGGCTGTTTTGGTGAGGATTTCGGACTGGTGACTATGGCTTCTGGAGCTCATGTATGGGCGACAACTATACTGGGACATCTCCGTAGTTCAACAAAAAGCTCTTAAAAGCATCGCTCTTGTCGCGTGCAGTGACTTGAATCTTGAAGTTATCATGTAGAGTCCAGAATGTAGACATCTAGAAAGACAATGCTGTCTCACATATCCAACCGCTGACATCCCTCCCACTGACCCCACAACTTCCTCATGACACCCTGCCTTTCTATCGTGTCCTGCAGATCCTTCAGCGCAGCAAGCCGTCCACTCCCATCCTTCATCTTCCAGTTCCAACCCTCGGAGCGACCAGCCATCACGAGCTCCCACTTCGCCTTATTGTCAACCGGCTGCACATGCGCACCAGGCTCGCTGTATACCGTGACCACATCGCGTGCTTGCAGGAAAGCAAAGTTGGATGTACCCTGCATGCATTCGCGGATCTCGAGGACCTTGAGGGCAAGGTGCGGGTTGTAGACGCGCGCAGTATCTGGTTATGTTAGTTTGATATCGATAAAGTGACAATGTGAGAACGTACTGAGGATACCAATCTTCATCTCATCAGCCACATCCGCAACAGCGACTTCCTTCTCCTCGTGACCCGTCTTCTCAACCATCCTCACGTTGATCTGGCGGCCGCCCACCTTGCTCCAACACAGCTCTTGTACCGCGCGCTCTGCCTCTCCCTCCCCGGTGATCTTGATGAATGTGCGTAGTGGATAAGCGAGGTTCTTGACGTTGGGGAGCGCGAAGTCAGGCGAGATCGTGAAGTCCTGGAAGAGTAAGGTGACGTCGCGGTAGGTGAGCTTTGGTGGGTAATTGGAGAGCTCGATGGTGGTCCAGGACATGTTGGAGAGTGAGGGTATGGGAGAGGGAGTTGGGGTAGGTGGTGTGACTGTTATGGTGATTGGATGAGGGAGGTGAAATCGAGGTGGGGCGAGGCGGTCTAGGTGTAGTGAGCGAACGGTCTTGGTGAAGATCTGGTGAGCGAGATTGGTCGGCTCGTCCGTTTGCGCTTGCGGTGTAGTCATTTTGGTCTACGATTTGCGATTAGTAGCGTAGGGGTAAATGCTGTTCAATGGCAAAGAGGTTCTGGTGTTGCGGTTATGTGAGAGATTGAGATGCTAGGTTCAAAACTGCACGAAGTTTACTATCTACTAGATGATGATATCCTCAGTCACTTTCACATCGAACTCGCATTTACCACTTCAATTGAGAAACGGTGGGAAGGAAAAAAGTGATTAGGATCATGACGTATCTAGGCAACTACATCGTCTTTTCGTAGGTATATCTCAGTGATGATCAAGTAGTGTGGCGATAGTCAGACTACCAGCACCTTACTACCGTCCACAGCAAAGGGCTGTGAAGCTACCAGGCACTCGTATCGTCCCGACCTCCGTTTTCAATTGACGTCATGTAATTGGCAACTCGACTTGATCCGTTTGGTGAAGGGGAGGAGTGAGGAGGAGGCGCGTGCCCACGTGGTGAAGTGGGGCCATGATCTGACGCGTAGTAGTCCATTCGTCGCACAGCCTTTCGACACCGCTCCCAACCGCGAACAGCAACGACAAGATGCAAAGCGTCTACGTACCGCCACACCTTCGGAAGAAGGTAGACCCCACAGCGGTATCAGACACGCCAGCGACACCCGTCGCAATACCATCAGGGGTGCCCAGCTGGAAGTCGCAACAACAGTCTGATGACGCCTTGTACACCGTCCAGGAAATCCACAACTACTTCTGGGGAGAGGGTGCCGTCACCGAAGATGCACATAACGCTACCCTCCATTCCTCCGCGACAAACCCGAACTGTCTATCGTGGGTGCTGTTGTTCAATGGCGCGAACCCGAAGTGGGACGAGGACGGAGTTATATTCGTCAAGAGCAACCTGAACCTTCTCACGGTAGCCACACCCCCCTCCGAACCTAAAACAGTGATCGCCGTCGCAGTACCTACACAACGATTAGACGAGCCGGGTGAGGACGGAGGTGTCATGCTACCAACGAGCAGCGAAGTTGCAGACGCGGATTACGAGGAGAGTTCATCGAGTGGAACACCAGAGTCCACGACCACTGAGCCGCTACCGAATCGCCACAGTGAGAGAGTTCTCATCGACTACTCTCCAATCGCCGTATTCTCTCAGCCTGTCCCGCGTGCTAGCCGATCATTCAAGTTCATCGGATGGTACGAGATTGAACACCTGCAAATCCTCGAGCCTGGTTCCCAAGGGCTGCTTCATATGTTGTGGGACAAGTGGAAGACGAAGGACAAATACGGCAACTATGTACCAAGACAGCGAGGCTCCGTCAATTGGATGAAGAGCATGTCGTACTCGTGGGCTGTTGTCCAGATGAAGAAAGACAAAGAAGCCATGGAGAACAAGGGCGAACCGAAGATTGAAAGAAGGGACGATAACGAGGACATGACAGGAGAGAGCAAAGGACAGAGCGTCAATGAGATGCTTGCCAAGATGAGGCTCGAAGGAGAAGGCAAAGAGGTGGCGCCCAAGGAAGAGGAGACTTGAGAACTCTTGCTGCGGACTGATCTGTGTATGATTGGATTATCGAAACGACATCGCACAGCAGCGATGTGATGCAGATGCAATGGTGGGCGAAATAGTGTCAACTTCAGATACTAATCGAGGTAATGACCTCGAGCTTGTAGTCATCTGCTCGATATCAGAAGCCCTTCTTGTACCGTAGCGTCTACTCAAAGATGCCAGTCATTTTATCCACGTCCTCTCCCATCGACATCCATGTGTTGTGTATCTGTCCTTGAAACATTGAAGATAGAAAAGTGGCATGAGTGATGTTTAGCCGGATGAGGCAGCCGCGTCCAAATTGCGGAGGTCGACGCGCTCCGATTGGTAGTGTCGGAGAAGGCCGATGGTGGGGCTGCCGCGGGGTATCGTCACCACTTGGGATAGTATCACAGCCCGTCTAATTGCTTATCGGCATTCCTTTCGTTTCCAATTCTATTTCCTTGTTGTGTGCGCATTCAGCTGCTTGAGTTGCGAACGCTATCCTCATTGCCCAATTGCCACAGCCATCTCCTTGCCACGAAATAACACCGCCGATCACCCAAGCAGCACCCCACCTCAACCCCCACCTCCCCCTGAACGCGACGAAATGACCGAGTCAATCCCCAAAACACAAACCGCAGGCTGGATCCAAGACCCCGGTCCGGATTGCGTCCTCCAAATCCGAAATGACGTCCAAGTGCAATCTCCATCAGCCGGCGAACTCCTCGTAAAGCTCGAATACAGCGGCATATGCCACAGCGACTGCCACAACCTCGTTTCGCCCGGGAAATACACTGAAGTGCCCGGTCATGAGGGCGTGGGTACCGTGGTATCGCTGGGTCAGGGAGTGTCAGAAGACCTGCTGGGAAAGCGAGTAGGCATAAAGTGGCTGTGGAACGCGTGTAAGACGTGTAGTAGCTGCAAGCAAGGCAAGGAGAACCATTGCGCCAAGCAGAAGAATACCGGAAGAAGCGTGTGGGGTACTCTACAGCAGTACGTGGTTGCAGATGCGGAATTCGTTACCATGATCCCGGAGGGAGTCAAAAGCGAGATCGCAGCGCCGCTTCTTTGCGCAGGTCTCAGTCTTGCGGGTGCTGTGTCCAAACTTACACCTGAGGTCAACCCCGGTGACTTCGTCGCTATCATTGGTGCTGGAGGAGGTCTCGGACACATCGGTGTACAGATCGCTACAATCAAGGGATACAAAGTCATTGCGATTGACAGTGGTGCCGAGAAAGAGAAGCTCACGAAGGAGATGGGCGCGGTAGCGTTTGTGGACTACGCCAAGCAGGATGTGTTGCAAGTTGTGCGAGATCTGACGGACGGAGAAGGCGCGCATGGTGTCATCTGTGTTGCTGGCAGCGAAAGAGCGTATCTTCAAGCTCCGGCTTTGGCGAGAAATAGTGGCGTGTTTGTTTGCGTGGGGCTTCCACCGGATACGTTCATGTTTCCTATGAGCCCGATTCATATCGCTAATAGAGGTATGCTCTTACATCTACATCGATTGAGACAGGACTTGTGCTGACATAACCAGGACTTGTCATCAGAGGATCCTCAACCGGTAGCGCCAAGCAAATGGATGAACTGCTACAGATGGCTTTGGAGGGCAAGATCACACCAAAGGTTGAAGTTTACGACTTTGCCGACTCACCGAAGATTCTCCAGGAGTTGCAGCGTTATGAGGTTACGGGGAGGAAGGTGGTACGGGCACCGTAAATGCTTGGCGAAGATTTTTGCAATGTAGTAGTTGAGCGCACGCATTGGGGTGGTGTTTCGCATGTGCGGGGTGTGGCGTTGAGGCTACTCAAAGCGCGGAGATTAGCGTGTATCAGCGTGGGAGCGATGCATGAAGAAGAGTTGAGGGCTTGTCGTGGAGTAGGGTGTAGGTTATAGGATGTATTGGAGGCGCAGTGTGATACCCTTGTAGAAGATTAGGGTTGTAGGGGAGCGCGGTTATGACGAATGCAGTACCGTATCTACCATATGCATGCCACCATTGTCTATCAATAGTCATTCTCGCTCTCTTCGAGACTGTACATGTAGGCCCAGCACTCATTTATCCGACGCTAACGACGCCACTAATGGCTCCTTCCTGATGCTTCCAATCCTTCGTCCTCGTATGCTCGCAGCGCTCCTGGGACATGCTACACCGGACGACCAACAAGAATACGGCTGCCACCACTCCGAGGGTCGTCATCATCGTCGTCATTGCCCTTCCGCGGCTTCTTCGCTTTAGGAATCCTTGGCTTGGAAGGGTCGGTTCTCGGGACATGTCCAGCGCGAACGATGTTCTTGTATATCTCCTCGTCTTTTCGATGTGCTCTCAGGCAACTGGCCCGCTTACAGGTTCCCGGCTCATAGTCGTCGCACTTGGCTCTCTTACACAAGTGTACAGCTGTGGCGCAATTCCGGCAGGGCTCTCCAGGATCGCAGCGAAGCTTTTGTTGATAGCATCTGATGCATATGACTACGGGGCCCGAGAGGGTTTCTGGCGCTGCCGAGGTGTCGTCGGGACTGTTTGAGCTGTGACGCGATTAATATGGGCTCGTTCTGACATGTTGTCGAACACTTACTTCATCTCATCGACAGTGCGCTTCGTACCACGCGTAGAACGGGCAGTCATGTCGTCCCCCAGACAATCGGAACGCTCGCCATGGTGGTTATCGGGACCAGAATGTGGCGGAAGTGAGCGGTCGAAGTCACTCGGAGGAGGGATCGAACGCGCTCCGTACTTTGCTGGGGGATGTACTGGTGCATCGGGTAACATGCCTCGCAGGTTCTTGTCATCTGTGTGAACCACTCCCTTCTCTGCGTTGCCTTCCGCGTCTTGTTGTAGGAGTGCGCACTTCAAGGTCATGAGCTCCAAATCAGCTCTTTCCGCCCTGCTTGTGCGCTTCACCTCTTGCAGAATCGACCTTGTTCTGCCCAATTCTTGTATGGTTGTAGTGTGTGCTTCTTTCTCTTTCTCAAGTGCCCGAGTGATGTCTCGCAGCTCCTTCTCGAGTGCTTGTTCTCGGGTTACGACCATGATGGGTTGAAGTGGCGGACGCCTATCGGGTATACAGGAATACTGTTTGAGTACACCTTCGCGTGTAGCTGATGCAGGGGGACCAGTCGTCGTCTCGGTAGGTCGCGGGCTGGTATGTTTGCTGGTCGGGCTATCTCGAGCATTTGTTGAGTATGACGTGCGTGGGCACCGACAATGACCCATTTAGGGCCTAGCCCTTATTCACGTTCACCTTCACCACCAGTTGCGTCACCTTCCAGGCTCCAGCGCAAAAGCCAGCGCATCACGTGAGTAGCTGTTAGCGTGCCCAGTCTTTAGAGCTATATAGTCCCGCTGTCCCGTCCCCGACTCTCTCTTTTTCTTCTTCATAGCTTTGGTTGTGTATACACGCCCAGTTAGGAGAAACAGTCTCCTGGTTGACCGATGAGAAAACGGATTTCGACAAGACGCCACGCACCCAGTTACGCAGACCAATACAAGCGCATTCGAGCACTGCCAGAGCCCCTGGTGCGCCTCGTCGTTACTTGTATGGACCTGCGCACGGTATGAGAACGACGAACTGATGATGATTGCGACCGTCCGGCGCGGTAGTCAGATCCCCTCGTTGCTTAGGGTTACATCACTTCGGTGATGTGCTCGATCCTGGACGAAATACTTATCAGATTTTGGGCTTGCCCGGCATCTGAGTGGCTTCTGGAGGAGCGCCTGGCCTTCGGGTTGCGTATACGTGTGTAACAGCCTTCTCCAGCTGCGTGAGGGTCGGACTAATGCCTTGCTTACCTTTCTCTGCCACCCTCTTACCAATGAGACAAGGCCTTGAAAGGAAGACAAGTAGTATGGTATCGGCTATCGGGTTCACTCACGGCCCACCTTTTCATTGACATCCGTGCCTTGTGCGCGGACTTGAGGAAGAGGTTTGAAGACTAGATTAGGTAGGGATGAATCAAGCAGATTAGAAGATCTGGCGTCAATGTAAGCCACAGGGTTTTCAGGTTTATCATCGATGAGCGACATCGCTGGTGAATGAGTTTCTTGACGTCCTGTACAATATACCAGATCATGTATTTGATGCTAAAGGATATAGCATTGTGTTGAAGATCAGAGACATTGGTGGTGCACCTCTTGATGAGCTTTGCATTGGATCTTAGAGTTCTAATTTGCAGGCAAGTATCAATTTGGATAAACTGCTAGCAAAGCTGGAAGGTCTCGATCAACAGACCGCGGTGCAGACAACAAATACCTGAATTCTTTTATTCCAGATAGCTGAAATAATTAACACGCGGTGCGATTTCGTTCGACGCATTCTGTAATGTGATTACGAGTACTGATATGTGATAATTGACCTTGTAACATCAGTAGGCATCACCGGGCACATACAAGGTGCTTAATGCAATTTGTCGAACCTGCAATTCAGGAATGTATTCTTGACTACGATGCTACAGATGTAGAAACGCTCCTCTCTAAGACAATGTAGACGCAAGCCGGGTCGGCGAGAACGGTGAAAAAGAGACGCCTTCAAGGATGTTCTTTGCAATTGACGTAATCCCAACGCCTAATCCTCTCTGCAACCTATCCTTCCACTGTGTACTGCACTTATCTTGCCTTGTATGAACACGCGAATCTCTCAAGCCCCCCTCCCCCTCGCTAGACAGCACTCAGAAGAGCCAAGCATTCAGTAACGCATCCCAAGCTCCTCAAGCATCTTGTAAACCCGGTACCTCAAGAGAGCTTCATCGTGCCAGTCGAATATGCCGTCCCATCGTGCGATATGGGCGTCCTCAATCTTGTTTCTAGCTTCCACGACCTCGTTCTCGATCTCCAAAGCTTCTTGCGCAACCACCCGAACGGCCTTTTTCCTCCTCAGAACGGCGATTCTTTTCAATCGAGCAGTCAGAATAGCTTTTTCCTTCTCCAGAACGCTGCTCTCCCTCTTGTACCCTTCAATTATCCTCTTCTTTTCTTCAACTGTCAAACTCCGCCACCACTTCTTATGCTTCTCAACTCTCGCCCTCTCTTCCTTCCTTCTTCTTCTTTGCTTCCTCTAGTTCTGCCCTCCGCTCGTTTCTTTCAGCCCTCAACATCTGGTTCTCTTCTTTGGAGTGAGCCAATTCTTCTTTCTCCATGTCGAGACGTTGTTGTAAAAGCTCAATGGACTCTCGGAGGAATTGTGAGTGAAGGGCCTTGTGCGCTTGCTTGGCTTCCTCGTGTTGACGGAGAGTAGAGGGACCGGCGTTGTTTGCGAGGGCAGCTTGGTGATCTTGTTCGATTTTGGCGAGTTCGGCCACGAAGACGAGGTTTTGTTGCCTTTTTCCAGAAATTTGGGCATCGAGCTGGTCCTTCAAATCGTCGGCGGAAGGTGGACCGAAGACGGGGAAGTTTGTGGTATCTGCGTCTTGTTCGCCGTCGGTGTTGGTGTTGTCAGGCTCGGTAGAAGACATCGTGGACTGCGGACGACAGTAGCGTGTAGGCTTCGGCGAAAAGATAGACGGCGATGGCTGTAGTAGTGTTGGTATGGGGTAATGCAAAAGCGCAAAGCCCGAAAATATTGATTCGGTGCGCTGCTTGGCAGATCTAGCCCGTTATAGACATTTCAGTGAAAGAGATGGGCGGGCAACACTGGCTGTAGGCGTAGATCCACTCCTAGAACAACACCTCAACAATCGCTGAAAATCAGGACTAAACGCAGGCTTCGTTACAAGCTGTTGGCAATGTTCATTGATTGCAGAAGACGAGAAAGTAGACATAGGAAAGGCAGATACCATCGCAAGACGTTGATGAACTCGCATACTTTTCACTGAGCGAATTGGACCCATATCCTGCTATCCAGTCATTATTGTGCTTTTTGATGTGTTCGTGTATCCGTCAAGGTTCATTCATAGACGTCAATCTAAGCTGTCGTGCTCCTTCCGTAACCTAAAACATGCCTGTAGTCGTTTGGATATCTTGCTTCGAACTACGCAAATGAGGATCGCTTCCATCGCCTTGCCGATATTGTAATGAGAGCCATGTTTCAAGTGTTCTCCTGCGATCAATCAAGATTCCCTGGTATGGTAGTCAACCGATGCCAGAATTGATGATGACGGGTTCAAAGTGGCGGTGCGACCAGCGACAAGGCGATCATCTCAGGTCCTTCAGCTAAGCAGAGGGCAGTACAGTTTGAGCATGAACGAGACAGGTTGAGACTAGACGAGCTCGAGCTCGTCGAGACAGCTGTATGATAGGCGTAGATGGATGTCGCGATACAGGCGTGGTGTTGAGGTTCCGGCCAAGCGACCCCACCATTAGCCTTATCGCGCTCGTGTACACCTTCTGTGTTCGGCAACAACCCCGCCTACAACACCGAGCTGTCCCATCATGGCTGAACTACGTCGGAGATGGCCGCTGACGCGCAAATCGGCTGATATCCAAGTCTCTCTTTCCATCGCGCCGTTTGGTTCTTCTAGCAGCTGTTCTTCTGCACCCTCTTCCAAGCTCGGACCGAAACGACGCGACAAAGAGTGACGACATGGCGAACATCACCTCAGCCGTCTCGCAGGACGACCTGGAAATTCCGGTACTGCATATTCATCTAGGCATTCCGACCAGCGCCTAACAATGCTTAGCTCATCGACTTCTCAGTGTTCCTCTCAGGCGACGCAGATGCGAAAAAGCAAACCGCCGACGCCGTCCTCAAAGGATTCCAAAACGCCGGCTTCATCTACCTAAAGAACCACGGCATATCCCCCTCGACCGTATCCACCGTATTCTCGCACTCCGCCAAATTCTTCGCGCGGCCAAAAGAGCAAAAGGACAAGTTGGCATGGTACTCAGCTGCCGCCAACCGCGGCTATGTCACACAAGGGCGGGAGAAGCTGGTAGTGTTGGAAGAGACAGGCACAGAAGCGGAGATGCGCGCCTTGGTGCCAGATCTGAAGGAGAGCATGGAGATCGGACGCGACGACCAGCCTGAGATGCCGAACATGTGGCCGAATGGGGACGACGAAGCGACGCAGTTCAAGGAGCAGATGATGGGCTTCTTCGAGACGTGCAAGGACCTTCACATGCAGGTTATGCGCGCTATTGCGCTGGGCATGGGCATCGACGAGAAGTGGTTCGATGGTTTCACGGATGCGGGTGACAATACACTGAGGCTGTTGCACTACCCGGGCGTGTCGAAGAGCATCTTCAAGAGGAATGATGGACAGGAGCAGGTGCGCGCAGGAGAGCACAGCGACTACGGTATGGGGGTTGCTACAACTCGGTAATAGAATCTGACTAACGCGACGACAGGCTCTATAACCCTCCTCTTCCAAGACGCCCGCGGCGGTCTTCAGGTCCGCTCCCCCAAGGGCACCTTCGTGAACGCTACCCCCATCGCAGACACCATTGTCGTCAACGCTGGCGACTTACTAGCACGCTGGTCGAACGACACCATCAAGTCAACAAAGCATCGCGTCATGGAGCCACCGCCGAAGCCGGAGGATGCTGATAAGGACGAATACCCGCCACGATACTCGATAGCCTACTTCTGCAACCCGAACTACGACCGCAAGATTGAGGCTATTCCGGGCACATACGAGAAGGGCAGAAATTATGAGGATGTTATGAGTGGGGATTATATCATTGGGCGGTTAACGGCGACGTACTGAGGGACGAAGCAATGTCATCAATCTGGTATTTGCTGGGATGTCTGCTTAAAGACCGCCGTGTGCCGGCAACTTCCTATATGCATCCAAGAGAACATACTCCGATTGCTCTAAATGAATTATTTAGATTTGAGCAGTCAAAGCTCATCAAGCCTGTCTATCCAAGTCACATTACATCGTGTATAGTGTCCACTTTCTTCATCGCGTCAACTGCATTACATCCTCCTATGATTCACCCAGCATAACGCCAGTCTGAAGCATCAGGCTATCAACACCACCCTCTACCAAGTCCAGCGGTGCAACAAGCACCATCTGACTCCAGCTAAACAGCGTATTACGACCCCCAAACACGAACACCTCGAACCGACCCGCGAATGTGCCATTGATCCAGACGCGACTGCCGCTGATTATGTCGGTCTCAATGCGCAAATTTGCTGGTAGTTCAATCGGCACTGGTTCATGGGAGGATGTCGTCTGGTTGGTCCATATGCGACCCGGGTGTCCAGTATCGTGGCCATCCAACGGAGATACGGAACGTAGGGGATACTCGAAGCCATCGGATGTGGTGAACATGAGTGTTGAACCACTGGAGTTGTTTGGAAGAGTAGCGATAGAGAGCGAGGTATCAGGACCGGTCAGGGTGAAGGATGAGGATACGTTCAGGGTCAGTGTGTACGGTGGTCCGTATGAGCTAATGTCTAGCGTCGCGTTATTGTCACTAGAAGAGTTGCGCGTCCATGACACCAGCGCTGAGCTTGGCGAGGCTACGTTCGTGCTCGCAAAACGGCGATCTAAGTTTTGTCCCGGAGCTTTAGTTGCCTAGCAAAACTTGCGTTAGCCACCAGGTCAATATGTGTTAATATGTCATTATGCATGGACATACCAAGAGCGCAATGCTGTCCGCCAATTCGTCTGGCTTAATCTTCGCACCTCGCGCACCAGACCACGCTCGCGCCGCCACGACAGGTATACCCTCTCGCATCGCATAGTAGGCTTCCAGCTGCGTAGTTGCATCCGCACCGTTATCGTTCCAAGCTGCAAGAATAGCGCCTTTGTTGCCGCTAGCCCTGGGCTCCAGCTGCTCTGTGGTGTTGACTGGATTGTAGAGAGATGGTTCCCACTGCCATCCTGGTACGTTGGCAAAGTTCATCGTGCGCGTATTGTTGAAGAACTGCGGGTATGGTGCCGGAAGGATGGGCATGTGATCATTCTTGAGACTCATGTAAGCCCACCAATCCTCCGAATTGATCATATCGTATCCGTCGTTCTGGAGTTCAAGAGGGTCAGATTGACCATACTGCCAATGTTGTACGATGATGTCTTTCGAGATGGTGAGGTTCTCGGATGGCTCGTAAGTGCCCCAGACACGTACGCGTTTGCCAGAAGTACTGTTGATGAAGTCGGCCATTTCGTTTACGAAGTTGATGTAGTCGTCCGCTAGCTCCGAATCGTACTCATCAGCGCCGATATGTACCTCCTTCGTTTGAAACCATGGAAGAAACTCGGACCAGATTGCTTTGACTGTTGGAATTGCGTCTGGATGGCTCAGGTTGAGCAGGTCTTTCTTTGCCAGCGCTAACTCAGGCTTCCATTTCGTGATCGCTAGAGCATGGCCTGGGGCTTCGATCTCAGGGATGACGGTGACACCACGTTGTGCGCAATGATGTTGGAACTCTTCGAAGTCGGCGCGTGAAAGTGTCTCGTTTGGGCGCTGGATGATAGCCTGCAGTTCTACATTCTCTTCCGGATACAGCGAAAAGTGTGAGAACACGTCTTGCCAGGTCTCATTGTGGCCACGGTTCAAGGGATAGTTGTCGCTAGAGTGATAGTGAAACTCTGACATCTTGAAGAAAGAGGCATATGTGCAGAGCTCTTTCAGGAAGTTCTTATCGTACCACTTACGACCCGCGTCGAGCATGAGCCCTCGTGTGCTGTATGCAGGCGCATCAACTATCCGACCCGCCATGAGAGAGCCATTGTCGATCAAGAGCTTCTGCAGTAGGGTGCGCGTTCCCCAGAACATGCCTCTCGCACCTGCTCCGCCTATGTATACAGTGCCATTGGTAACCTCAAGCTCGTATCCTTCTTCTGTAGGCTGACCATTCCCGTATATGAATGAGAGATTGCTGTCTCGAATCGGGCCGATATGAATACCAGTGAGCGGGAAGTCGTCTACTTGCTCCAGAGTCCAGGAACCACCAAATAGTGATGAGATGTCGGTGCGAAATGTTTCAGCAAACTCATAGGCAGTTGGCGGTATGAGCGTAAGACCTTCGGAGTCTCTCTTTGCGGCGAAACTTCTGTCGATATATATCTTTCTTGCATCTGTGCCGATAGAGAAGCCGAGGTCATCGCTGTTGCTGTAGCGGGGTGAGACCGGCGGAAGAGGCTGCAGCGCGGTAACGAGGCCAATCAACTGCGACAACACCAAAATCAACATTGTCGTTGGGAGACGATATAAGAGATCGCGCACTCAGTTCGGTGTCGTGGACATATCACAGCATTAAGATACCATGTCTTGGCTGTTTGTTACTCGCCCCGCTTCTGCAAGGCCGATGTAACCTCCGCAGGGAGCACAAATGGCGGCAAATGATAAGAAGTGAAAGCCGAAAAGAGGTGTCATCTTGGCAATCAAGCGGGACGGCGGTGATGAATACGAAGGGACGCGTTGTCGCAAGATATGACTTGTTGTTAGCTTTAAGGACGTATGCAATAAGTTCGCCTGGGGACGGTCTAAACCATTTCAGGAAGGATGTATCCCAAGTCTATGGAACCGCGACGGTGCATACAGCGATGACAGGCTATACCGTATCGCAGAGAGGGTCTCCACAGTACCAGCTCCACGCCCGTTCGGTTGCTCCTTCACGTAGGACACTTCTCGCCTTTCTTTTACAAAAAATATCATGAGGTCATAGACCGGCCGTATGTCGTGGCTCTCTAGGTGATGCCGTGAGCTCAACAGATCGTGATAGCAAGCAACGCTTGAGTGAAGCTGGCGGAATTGCGATGTGTATAGAATGCAGACGGTATCGCAGTAGTGACAAGACGTGAGCGATAGAAGTGATGTGATCAGGATGGAAGGTGTTCAGGGAGCGCTAGCCAGATGAGTGAAGCTTAGCGCATCGGAGAAAATCTGCGTCTGTACCGACTTCGACCAGCAGTCGCGCACTCTCAACCACGTATCGAAAGTTCACATCATGTATCAATAGCATTCGCATTTTCAGGCGTTCTCATTTCCTTTTGCTTCCACAAAGATGGATCGCCATCAGCGCGTCGTTGCGCAAGTCGCGTCCAAAGTCAAAGACTACTTTACGCGCAAAGAAACCTTCCGGATATCTCACGGCTCGACAAACAGCACGCGTCCGAATCTTAAGAAACATGTCGTAGATATCAGCGCTCTTCGAAATGTCATACGCGTTGATACGGAAAGCAAGACAGCTCTTGTCGAGCCAAACGTACCTATGGATCGGCTTGTAGAAGCTACGCTACCGCATGGTCTTGTGCCACCCGTCGTGATGGAGTTTCCTGGTATCACCGTTGGTGGCGGGTATGCGGGTACAGCTGGCGAGAGTAGTAGCTTCAAGTTTGGGTTCTTCGATCGCACTATCAATGAGGTAGAGATGGTCATGGCCAACGGTGAAGTCGTCAAAGCTAGCGAGAAGAAGAATGAGGACCTGTTCAGAGGGGCTGCTGGCGCTGTCGGTACCTTGGGGGTTACTACGCTTGTCGATTTGAGGCTCATCGAGGCGAAGAAATATGTTAAGACAACATACTATCCTACACGTAGCGTTGCTCAAGCCGTCAAGGAGGTCGAAGATCATACACGTGGTGAGAAAGGCGAGAGAAACGACTATGTCGATGGCGTCTTGTTCAACAAGGAACACGGTGCGATCGTCACAGGCGAAATGACAGATGATCTGCCACCCAACACCAAGCCGCAGACTTTCAGTAACCCGTGGGATCCGTGGTTCTATCTGCATGTTGAAGCCGCTACACGAAACTCCACCAAGCCAGTGGTGGAGTACATCCCCTTAGCTGAGTACATGTTCCGCTACGACCGTGGTGGCTTTTGGGTCGGTCGGTCCGCTTTCAGCTACATGCGCTTTCCTTTCAACAAGTACACTCGCTGGTTCCTGGACGACTTCCTCCATACGCGCATGCTTTACCGAGCCCTTCATGCGTCCGGGATTGCGACACGATACATTGTCCAAGACATGGCTTTACCCTACCCCAACGCCGAAAAGTTCATCGACTATACCGACAAGGAATTCGGAATCTGGCCTCTTTGGCTCTGCCCGTTGAGGCAAAGCCCCCAACCGACTATGCATCCTCACACCAAAGGCTCGCTGAAGTCAGACCAAATGCTCAATATTGGTCTTTGGGGGTTTGGTCCTAAAGACCCTGTCACCTACTTGCAGAAGAATCGCGCGCTCGAGAAGACGCTTGGCGAGATGGGCGGTATGAAGTGGCTGTATGCGCAGACCTACTACAGCAAAGATGACTTTTGGGCGCAATTCGATCGCAAGTGGCACCAAGGGTTGAGGAAGAAGTACAATGCGGAGATGCTGCCTGAGGTGTATGACAAAGTGCATGTCGATATCGAAAAGTATACGAGTATGGCAAGCAAGGATATGGGTTTGAAGCTGAGAGGCATCTGGCCATTAGGCGGATTTTGGGGCATCTGGAAAGCGATCCAAAGCAAAGACTATATGATCGCGCGTAACTCTACGTGGAGGTCGAGAAGCTGAAGAAAATCTCTTCTGAGAGCAACAAAGTCATATTGAATTTGCATTAGTCAAAAAACCCTGTCGAGACGATTTGTGCGACCTCGAAGAGTCTCCAGTGCAAAGCCTGCTGCCTGCCTAAAACTTGCTCACACCAACCTCTCAACACCCACAATACCACAACACCTGCACTTCTCTCCGTCCAGCATGAACGCCTACCCTATCGCTCCTTCGCTCGTGTTTACGGATATGTTCCGCATGGCGGTCGTCCACTTGATATTCAACATCCCACTGAACGTGTTGGACGAGACTGCCGAAGCCGTCATGCGCGAGGTGACGGAGAACATCGACGCGGACCCAGTCAAGTTGAGACACACGGTCAACATCATCTACGCGAGTGCCATGGAAGACAGAAACTGGGTATACGTCGCAGTCAAGCTCCTCAATTATCTCTGCCTTCTCATCCCGGCAACACTTGCCGACCCAAACGTACTCCCAGATGGCAACAACAAGCCACGCTCTGGCCCGCGCCTCGTCCAGCACTACATCTACAACCGCTCGCTGGCCGACTTTCAAGCCGACATGCAGAAAGTCGCATGGTGCCAACCGCGCATGTGGCTCCTCGCTGAACTAGGTAAGTCTTGCCTCTACGAAGTGCATGTGAGACATGTAGTGACTTCGTACCTCTACCTCTGAAGCCGACGCAACATCATCGCCTCTCCTTATGTCGCTCAAGACAAATGTTTGGATCCTGGACATGATGGTAAGTGCACAGCATCTGTTCAGCAACCATAACATCGACCTGTTTGTCGAGTACGTGGAATTCGTTGCGCGTGGTCTGGATGAGAATCCGATTACTGAAGCGGAGCTCACGAGGGTTTTGGAGAAAGTACGCGAGCGCACAGTGAACGCGGACGAGGATTTGATGTCGAAGATCAAGGTCGCAGGACTAATTTCTCTGAGGAAGAACGCCTGGGTTTTGTGAAAGCAAGGATCTGGCATAACGCGAAGTGTGGAAGGCTTGTCTGGCACACACGGTTGGCGGAGAGGGACAGTGTTTTGTATCATAAGAACATCAGATAGTCTCCTGCTGCAATTCTTCTCAGCAGTCAATGTACTATTATCATGTGTCACCACTGTAGCCGCACCTTCGCCGCCAGTGTGCAAGACCCTGACCCTGCGCCCAACGCCAAGCCTTCATCCTTTGCTCCTGCCCATTGTGTCGAGTCGCACCACCTCGACGCGTAGAATTACATCGTACGCATTACTGATCTCACGCATCCAAAACAACACGACAAGATGGCTGCAGCTACAGCGGCGCCTGTCGATGTGTCTTCGCAGCTTTCCAGAGACGTATACCAAGAGCAATTCGATTTCATTGAGCTCATCCGCGATGTCGTTGCCTCGCTCGATAGTCAGACTCCAGACGACGCGGTACGCGATCAGGTCGACCTGATCCTCGCACTCGTTGGTAGAGACCTGCTAAAACTTCACGCACTCGCTAGAGTCGTCAACGCTAAGATCGTTGGTCAATCAAGCTGGGCCTCAATCGGCGTCAAGTTCTACAGGCAAGTTATCAGTCATAACGCAGCAGGTTCGCGGCTAATTAATCGGTTCTAGGGCGCTATTTACCGCTATCGATCCGACTCTCGAGCTCGAAGTCTTCAATGATGAAAGTATCATGGGTGCCGATATCGCCGGCATGTACATCCTAGAGGCCGCCGTGGAGTTCACTACTCAGCCAATCTGGATATCTGGATCGGTCAACGTATTGGAGTTCTCGCTGAGTCTTCTCAAAGCCTTTCCAGTCGGAGATCGCGGATCGGCGATAGCGGAGAGCCTGGGTTGCAGCCTGTTGGAGAAGATGGCAACCTCTCTTTATCTGCCATTCCACAACAATTGCGACACATTCTTTCCGTTCGCGTACGAAGTTGTTCCGCTGCTCGATGCTGCAGATAAGAGCATGAAATCTAGCCGTGTCACGGACGTCCTAAAGGCACTGAAAGAAGAAGACTACGAAAGGACGGTTCGGGAGAAAGGCCTACTCAAGCACCTGTGCGACATACTCGGGAGATCTGACCTCTATCCGCATCACACAGAGTCTAACGTGTTTGAAGACGGAGAATCTATTGCGGCCGAGCACACAGAATCTACTGCGATCGGACATACCGACTCTACCGAGGCCGGTTGTGTATACGGCCGGGGTCGACTAAGCCTCATTCCGTATGAGCAGCTCAAGCAGGATATCGAGACCAACTGGAAGCTCTTCACCACAACACCGAACTGGGAGTTGCCGGCGATCGCACGGTTGCTCAAGAGCACCTCCGAAGTCATGAAGATTGACGCTCCGATCTGGGTACAGACTATCACGCTCGACATGATCCAGGTTATGGTCCAATCGAAGTATCTTTTCTTGCGCAGGAACTTCCAGATACTGTCCTTTTTCGTCTTTGCTGCTGCACCTGCGCTTGACGGTATGGCAGAGACTCCCCAATGTGAGCGGTTGACGGCTCTGCTCGATACGCTCAGTGGCCACAGCGGTGTGCAGAAAGCCCAGCATCGCGAGACCATCGACGGTCTCCGCCGGAACCTGGGTAGAAGCGTGCATAGTGCAACATCAAAGTCCACGGTCGATGGTTCCGAAGGAAAAGAGCTTCTAGCCGCTGTCTCCAAGCTCAATATCGACTGATCCTCTGGTCCAGGAAACATGGTTTCGGATCGCACGGGCCGGTTCGTTCGATGCAGAGGATTGGCAAGAAAAGGTGACAGCGTGGGTGGCATTGATTATCGCGATGGACAAGAGCGAGTATGTCTGGAGCGATAGTTCTGTCATACTCCTGATCGGATCGTCTGTGATACCCGGTATGCCATGTTTGGATGCTGTACAGGCTCATGTGCTTTACACGTCTAACAACTGTTAATTCGAAGAAGGCTTCTCATCAAGTCTTTTTTGTGTATTTGCCGCTTTTGACCGTGCTTTATTAAATTCGACTTGCCAGCTCATCTCGCCGAGTAGTGAAATGTTGCTGTCCATAAGGCGCAAAACACGACCGGGCTGTAGTCGGGTCAAAGGCGCATGCTGTTCTTCGTTGACGAGGAGGTTGGGTTCGGTGGGGACTAAAGGGGATCGGCAAACCTCTAGCGGATTACGTCAGATGGTCAATGCATGTCGCGCACCTTACGCGTGCCCACAATCCCGTCACGCATTGCCAGCTCTAACATCGTGAACTTTAAGCGGTCTGGAATGCACCTCATCGGATGCACACTTCACTCATGACGACATGCGTACCCACCGATTGAGCTCACTAGTGGACGAATTGAGCGGATGAGTACGGATCCTCTGCCGAAACGAGCCGCCACGCTATGACGATGATCATCCACCCTGCTGCAATTTCGATAAACATCTTTTGACAACCCATTACTCCGGGGAACCGTATCAGCACCACCTGCGCATACCATACTGTCCATCATCTGTATCGACCGAGCCTCATCATCCGTCTTGAGTTTAGCGACATCCCCTAATCACCTGCGCAACTAGCTGCAGCTGTCTCCATTATGACGGAACAAGAAACCAAGAAAGGCGGCTTACGTGCCATGTTTGGCATGCGATCAGGGAAACAACCAAAAGAGCCGGCTACGCGGAAGAAACTTTCCAAGAAGGGATCACGAAGCGACATGCTCGGAAAGCTTGACTCGACCACCAACGTGACGAACCCCAACCGCCAAGATTCTGGCAGCTTCACGAACGAGAGAACCGATCTTTCAGACAACAGTTTTGGCTTACCTACCAATGAAGACATCACTGGCCTTGCGCCACATGCGTTGCGTGATCATCCATATGCTGCCGTCAACGCTCTCATGGATACCAGCAACGCCTACCTACAACCTGGGCAACAAGCAGCCGATTACCGCCGCAACTCAGAAGGACAACCACAATATGCCGCACCTTTGTATCAATCACACAGCTCGAGATCTGCATCAATACCGCAGTCGGGCAATGAGCAGACTCTACCATACGCGCCATCGAGATCGCAGCCTTCAAAGCTGACCAAGTCTCATCGGGCGCCTTCAAAGGCTGTCAGGGCCGATGACATCCTTGACAAAAATACCGGAGAAAGAAAAGATCTGACAGACATGATGCATGCTTTCACATACATTGATGGTGTTGATACGATTGAGGAAGAACGGGATGATGTATCTTTACTCTATGATCCCACGAAACCTGACGGAACAGCATTACTCGGCAGCGCATCACCTGAAGTGTGGCTTCATGTTGCAGACTTCCTATCACCGCTCGACGTTGCCAACCTATCGTCTACATGCCGGACCATGTACGCTCGACTAGGTAGACACCCATACAAACTGCTCATGGATCCGCTCCATCGGCCGCAACGGCTCGACTTTCTACTTTCCATGGACCACAAGATGCCACGTCATCTTTTCTGCTTCCCATGCGCACAGTGGCATTTGCGCATTCAGCCTGGTATGGAGACAATGAAACCTCCCAATGTTCTCAATCCACTCTTTGAGTGCCCCAATCGAACCAACGTTCACATTCCTCCACCAAGGCTCCGTATCAGCGAAGGTCGCACATTACCGTTCGCATTTGCGCAATTAGCCCGACGCCATTGGGCCTACGGCGCAGAATACGGCATTCCTCATCAGTCGCTAGGCCGCCGTTGGAAAGACACCTATTCGACCTGGCGGCATGATTCTACCTATCACATTACCGACAAAGGTCATCTATTGATGCGTATCCGATCGCAACAGTACGTAGAAGGGGGGATGACAGATGCAGCAAAGCGTATGCTTTTGTTCAGCCGTGGAGACTTCACGCCCTACTTCAGCGTTTGCGCACATTGGAAGCACGGGCTGTTGACATCGATACCTAAATGTGCATTATCGCATATTCCTCATATCCACGAATCTGAAACGACCGCTCTTGACAAGTTCCGCGAACGCAGCTTAGGAAAGAAGGCCGTTGGCATGGTCAATCTCTGTTCCATATGCCGACCGATGCGCCGCTGTCCCAAATGCCCGACTGAATACCTGTTCGAACTCAAACTTGTTGAAGACAAGAGCGTGCGCGGCAACGGCCCTGAGCGCTTCAAGCAGGCTCTCATCGTAACGCGATGGAGTGATCTAGGTCCTGCGCGCAGTCCCGAGGACCCCGAATGGAGTGCTATCACTGGTGACAACCAGGAATACGATAGCTTCAAGGAGATCGGACGAAGAGCTGTTAGTGGTGTGTTTGAGAGTGCGTTCACGGACACGATACCCGGGCAGCGGATTATGAGTATGAATCCTATGGACGTAAAGGCAAACGAAGAGAGCGGAGACTGGTATTAGTCGACATTCATGTAATGATTAATGTACGCGATAGCATGGGGATATCCGGCCGAACCGTATAGCGCCTTAGCGAGGTCAGGATAGTGCATTGTGTATGTTTTCATTCGATTTCTATCAAGCCCAGATCCTATTTACCTCCTACGTTGAGTCAATGCTGCTATGTTCGTGAACTCTCGGACAGGCCTAGCATCCACAAGATACTTTTAGGCCGCAGAATGGGTAGCGATGCGCTCGTGCAGGCCTATGAATAGGTTGTCAGCAAGCTGTGCAATAGACGATTTTGAGGATGTATACCTCAAAGACTACTATCCTTCTTCTTTTGTCGCAGCGTCAAGGACATGTTGTCGGCAACGACATCCGGAAGACGAGTGGTCTTGCTCTTGTTCTTGGTGACCCTGCCTGATGAGACACCATCCTTGGCCTTGATATGAGCGGCCCGCTCTCGGAACATAGTGGCCGTGGCACTATCTCGCTCTCCTGTCACCACCTCAATCCTGCGATCCTTCTCGGCAATGATGCGGTTCTTCTCGTCGATGATGTCATCCCTGACAGCAACCCTGTGGCGCTCGTTGGCGACATCCATCTGAGCTACCACGAGGCCAAATAAAGCCCTATTCTTCTCCTTCTTTTCCTCCTCTGCCTTTTCCAGCGCTTGGATCATGGCGTGGTATTCATCGCCGTCAACGCCGTTGTCCTGGACCTTCTCGCCGTAGCCAGACGGGACGTTAATGGCGTACGAGTCGCCCTCGTCAATCTCCCTCTCCTTCAATTCCTTGATCTCATCCTTCGCATCGTGGTACTTGCGTTTGAACTTCTCTTTCTCATCCCTCTCTTCACTGAGCTCCAGATTCGTATCGGCAAGCTGCTGGATGAGGTCCGCGATGATGCTTGCGTCTGTACCCGACATGTTCACGGCGCCTGTATAGGTAGACATGATGGACTTGGCTCGTGACGGGAGAGTCGTGGCGGGGAGGTAGGTGTCGGGGTATGTGTTGGGCAGGATGTGCGGAACTGGTCGGCGTATCGAATTCGCGTATGGGTATTGTAAAATTGAAGACGAGGACGGTGGGGAGAGAGGAGAGTCGGTTGAAATCGTGCGACTTTAAGAAAGTGAGAGCGCGTTGTTGATTATAGTCAGTGCGTATTTTCGCGACAATTTGCGACGTCACTCAGGTAAACCAAACGGGCTTATCAGCAAATAAGACAACGATACGGAGAGGAGAGACCAATCAAACGCTCAGATACACCGACTACTCACCGTCACCTTTGTTGCCTACGCCTCTGTTTGTTCCACCGACACCGATGGTAATCTGCTCATGCGCCGCTCGAGCCGTGATTAGCTGGCCAGAAACGACACTGTCGAATTCGACTTGACCTCGAATGTGACCTGACCAAGCCGTCACTGCAGCCTATTGATATGTCGGACTCAACGACCAAGTGATACCCTAGACAAGTACGGAACTGTGACTGACCATGTACTATACCAGACGATTATAGAGCGCGTCTGATAGCCGTCGCGTAACCATCTCTTTCACTTATCTATTCTTTCTAAATCCATTGCCCAAGCACATGCGTGTTTACATCCAGCCTTGATCCAAACTCTTGCTTCGCGAGTCATCACTCGAGTGTACAAATGCTACAAGGACTCGCATGCGAACGCAAAACTGTTATAACCTTTTCGAACACAAGAAGAATTCACTTCTTTCAGTGGAAGGCATCATACCGTGTGAGGAAGGCCGTTGCAGCATACTGGGTCGGATTGCAAGGTCGACTGATATCGCTGGATAGATAGTGAGGGATTCGAAGCACTTTACAATTGAGATTGACAACGTGATTGTGATTTAACAGCCTCCCTGGTGATGTATGAGTTGTATGTGCATCCGCTGTTGATGCGATGTTGTCGTGAAAGAAACATAGGAATCTGAGACTTGCGAGGTTGGAAGACACGTACCTCGGCGATAAAGTGGATACCTCGATGCTTAACTCCGAGCTTGTGAGGCGCAGCTTCCTCATACCGCCATTTCGTCTCAGAAACAACAGAGTGCACCTTTGACTCAGACTGCGGTCTGGTCCTGGTTCAGACCTATCCAGCACTACCAACAACTCAACATGTCGTTCCCTAATTGCGCATCTCCGCTGTTCGAGCTTCCACAGGAGCTTCTCGAAATCGTACTCAGCTATCTTCCTCCGTGCCAAGACGTGTTGAACCTGTCTCGTACCTGCAAAGCCATGCACGCAAAGACCATAGCGCATCTATACAGCAACATCAGCATGCAATGGCAAGCCGGTCATGCAACTCGCCCGCTGAGTATTCATGATTACCGTCCGTGGCAACGCCGAGCTTTCCGGCCCAACTTACTCCTGCAAACAATCCTGGCGAAGCCCGCCTACGCGCAATCGATCACTAGTCTCAGACTGCAGACTACCGGGCTTGGGGGCTGTTGGAACGAGTGGTTTCGTGATCCACGCAGAAAGGAGCCTTTGGAGAAGCGGAAACCGAAGGCTGCCCCGACTTGGACAAACGCGAATGAGCGACTGGCCCTGAACGCCGTACGGAATGCAGGGCTGGAGTGGCACCATAAAGGACGCGGAGATGCTTTTGCAGTCAGCGGTCGTTCTTGGTATGAAGCTATCCTGATGTACGATTTGGATGCTACCATAGCGCTGCTCGTGTGGATGTGTCCCAATCTTGTCTCACTCGATCTAGGGTTTCACATCGGCAGCGACGTAGTGTACATCCCTGAACTCTTGTGGAAGCTGCGCTCTGGTGGTGCGGAGTCACAAGCTCTCGGTTGTCGCAAGCTTCGAAACGTTCATCTCGGCCGTGGGTATAGCGTTTATGTTAAGGAGGATCATCGGTGGTATAGCTGGAGTCGGATCAAGTATCTACACCAACATTTGGATTGGAGGGGATATTGGGCTTTCTTTTGGTGTCCAAACATCCAGAAGATTGAAATGAGCTTAATGGATGAGACTGCACATGCAGGTTTCCAGAAAGCAACATCTCTACCTGTCTGCTCAACGTTAACGACATTGAGACTCAGCGAGTCTTCAGTGGAACCAGACACACTCGCGAAACTGCTGTCTTGCACACCAGCTCTGAGGAAATTGGACTACGAATACTGGGTTCGCGATCAGGCGTTCTTCACCGTGGATTGCGCATCGCTCAGCGCCGCCCTCAACAGTGTCAAGAGCACCTTGGAACATTTGAGATTCTTTTGTCAACTGCATTCGCCGGGGTCCGTTGACGTTTACGGAAACTGCGATTTTCGGGAATATCCCGTTCTCTCCTCCCTTCACGTCCCGCCTGCCGTAATACTAGGCGGTGAGGCTTCCCTTTGGCCCCGAATCGAGGAAGTCATACCATCGAGCCTGGAGGAGCTGTGCTTTGTCCATGATGGTCTTTTCAAGTTCTGGAGCCCGAAGGAATTGATACCGTTGCTAGACGACTTTTTCCAGGGTGGTTGGAGAGTTAAAACACCAAAGCTGCAACGCGTGTACGCGACGCACAACAAGCCGTGGAAAAAGGCGTGTAGGGGAAACTATCTGCGGCTTTTGAGCGAACGAAATGGATTAGAATGGGTAAACACTAGCTGAGCAAGAGAATGAAGATTTTGTATTTACAACACAAGGAGTGTCGGAGATTCTGATAGAGGAACTCCGAAGCCGAGACAATACGAAATGTCCATGCGGCTGAGTCGGCGCGAAGCGTTCCGCCGTGTACCGACATCACGATGATGGCGATGATGTTCGTGCTGCATCGGGACCCGGACCCTGAGATCGCGTATTATGGGATGACGTCTTCGATTGACCACAGACGCGACGCGAGACCGTACAAAGACAATGGCATACCACGACTTCTTGCTGAATCTCATCCTACAACTACAATCCCATCTCGCTGCATCGCATTCGTACACGTGACCCTAAGTGCATTCCCACTACAACCTCGAACGCCATCACAGCCTCCAGTATGGGGAACACACAATCCACGGTGCGCTACCTTGCGCCGGCATCCTTCATCTACGACTTTGCTCTGCAACAATATGGCATCTTTTCGTCGCCCAACATGATGGATATCCACAACCGGAATCTTGCCGCTTTCAGCCCGTATCCATACTTCATTGGCGCATTCTTCTTCCCACAGCAAATCTTCCAGCTGGTCTGGTTGTGGAAGCTATGGAAGCAAGATGGTAATGCGCAAGAGTGTGCGATGATGAACAAGTTTGCTTGGGTTTACAGTCTGGGCAACTTTTGCATTGGAAGTACGTATTATTGAAGTATATCGTGGTGATGTAGGATGTATACTGACGTCTGCGACAGCTTGGATGTTCTTCTGGAACTCGAACAACCTGGAGACATCGAACATCTTCGTCATTATCAACACACTGGCGCAAGTCGGTTACATTGCCACGGCGCTTGAGCCGCTCGACACGCGATCAACACCTAACCTTCTCACCCACATTGTCTCGAAGACATTCGCGGGTATCGGTGTGCTCGACCTCCTTCATAACACATCTGCAGCCTACTTTGTAGGTGTGGAGCCCAGTTCGCTGGTGCAAGTGGCTACCGGTGTTGGTTTCGCTGCGGCGGCCAGCATGAGCGACTGGATCTTCGGCGGCTGCTTGGTATACGACCTCGTTGCGTTGACCGTCGGACAGGAAGGCAACTGGTCGAGGCTGCTAGGTGGATATGCGGCCATGACAGCGGGTATTGTGGCCTTTAGGAACTTCTTCTAGTAGGTACACTCGGCCGTCGCATGCTGAGTCGTGCTGACGGATCGCAGTCCAAGGTGGAAGGCGCAGAAGGAGGGAAGGTACGCCAGGGTCGAGAATGGCGGTGACGTGGTTTAGATATTGGGGGTCGCAGGTCGCGATACTTACCTTGATGCGGACATCTCAGTGATGGGCACGTTGATTACTTCCTATAATGATAATTAAACTTCGTATCACTTTGTGGTCTCGGTAACATTCCAGTCTGGTTCGTTCTTCTCGATATGCGGGTTCCAGAAGCTCGAGACACGACGATGCCTCAGGCCCAGCCTCACTCATGGTGGGTTTCTGTTACGTTTCGAGGCAGATCTTAGTGCAGTGTATTAGTTGAGGCTTGGAGGCCGAAGCGACGGACCCATCCGATGGCGGAGAGGAGGGGCAGATAGGCATGCATCGTCATTACAGCTCGCGCGCTATAGGCTGACCCCATATTGAAGTTGATCGATCTGTGATGTGCGTAGATCTGGCGATGGCAGATTGGTGCTGCGAGATCCAGCCGGCGTCCTTTCCGCGTGACGTGCCAGCCTGATGGGCGACGCCAAGGCCCGCGAACGGCGGCAAGCAGAGACATGTGCGCTAGCATGATGCGCGTGCGCGCCCTTGCCCTCGAGATAAGCAACTCTTATCAATCACTCATAGCATCCCACCCGCCCAAGTCACACTGCTCCCGTCATGGCAGGCCTAGCCGCAACGGATACCGCTTGGCCTAGCATCGGTCATGCGAGCCCGCCGGGGGATCCTCTAGCATGTGGAGATGCTTCCTTTTGGGAGCCTGCGGTTGGCTGGCGTGGATGACTGTTGACGGCCGTGAGCTGCTGTATGTCTTCTTGTCACACTGCTCTGACGTCTCGTGTCTTTTCTTCTACTCTTCCTCTTCCATTGCCTGCATCCCGCGCTTCTCGTGGCTGTCATAACCTCCGTTTCTGCACCCGAGTCTTATCAGCAAGTGACCGGTTCAACGACGTCACAGCGCCGAGCTTTGGAACAGCGACTCTCACGCGACAACTTATACATATCTCTTGAAGGGCGGTCGCTCGGCCTGTACTTCAATTCTGATACCGACGTTACGCGTGCGTCGTATACGAGGTTGCATCCACGCCTCTGTGGCTGTACCAAGAGCCCGAACCAGCGCCTGACCACCCAGCCTGCGCTACCGAGACGTGAGAAAGAAGCAAGAAGTATCCGGAACACACGCGCGTTGGAGTTCCGGTTGACTCTCTACGGCAGTCACAGTCCAGACAGCTGCGTCGTTCCTTCCCATCGAACCCACGAATTCGACCTATGGCACCATGCCTCCATACCTATCCCCCCTACATATAGCCAAACCCACGTTACCACCGACTTGCGAACCTGCGAACGAGTTCCTCTATCATCTGTCGGCGGCATTTCACACCTGCGTACCTACGAACCTCGCGCTCGTCTCGACATTGCTCGGCACGTGCAGCATCATATCATGGCTGTTCGCACAGCTACCACAAATATACAAGAACCATAAGCTGAAGTCAACATCGGGACTGAGCGCGTTCTTCTTGACGGAATGGCTCCTGGGTGATGTGACGAACCTGCTGGGCTGCCTGTTCACCGGGCAGGCGTCATGGCAAGTCATAATCGCAGGCTACTACGTCTTCGTTGACTGCTGCTTGTGTGGTCAGTGGGTGTGGTACGAGCTGTTGCACCATGGAAGGCCACTGAGGCCGATCTGGGGCCGATGGAGCAGCTCAGCTGGCAGCGGTTCTGGCGCCGGAGGCTCTGCCATGCATCAGGTTCTGGATGGGATGAGCATAGGCGGTACGAACAACGCGTCTAGCCCGCCAAAGTCACCGCAAGATTCAAGCGACACGAAGAACGTTAAACAGGATAGCGCGGCCAAAGACGTACCGCGCTCGAATGCGAAGGAAACCTTTAGGATTCCCAACTTTGCGCGCTCGCCCATGCCTACGAAGGAATCATGGCAAAGTACATCTCCGTCAGGCGCATCACCCAACCCCAAGGTGCGGATAGCAGCCTCGAGCTCGCCTATGCCCTCTCCCAAGACCGTTCTATACATTACTCTCATGATCGCAGTACTCGCCAACCCTACTACCGCAACGCCGATAAGTCCCTTCGCGCCAGGCCTCGCCCGCGCTCGCAGCCTTTCCGCGTACACAACTACCACGACCAGCTCGCCCAGTGCCTCGGAAACCGCCGGCAAAGTCTTCTCATGGATGAGCACGTTCCTATACCTCGGGTCGCGCCTCCCCCAACTCTACATGAATCAGGTCCGCAAATCGACAGCCGGTTTGTCTCCCACCCTCTTCGCGGCCGCCTTCTTCGGCAACCTCTTCTACTCGACTTCGCTCCTTACAAACCCTTGCGCATGGTACGACTACGCGCCCGGTGAAGGCTCCGGCTGGGTCGACCCCCAAGGCAGCGTAAGAGCAGACTGGGTCCTACGCGCCGCACCCTTCTTCCTTGGTGCAGCAGGCGTGCTCCTCATGGACGCAGCAGTCGGTCTACAATTCTGGCATTTCGGCGACGCCACACCCCGGGGCCGATCGCCAACGCCCCGCGACGACGAAGTCATCATCACCGTCGACGACCACGGTAAGCTGGTGCGCAGGAGTATGCATTGGCGCCGTGTGAGCGGGTGGATGAGGGGCTGGGCTCCGGCTGTCAGTGTAGCTGCTACGCCGAATGTGAGCCGTGCGAATACGCCGATGGATTCTCCGAGGGATACGAGTCCGGCTAGTACAGCTGGGAGTAGTTCGAGCAAGAGCATTCCTATCAAGGGGAGGGGTAGCGCGTTGGATGAGGCGAGGGCGCTTCTGGGGACGAGCAGACATGCGAGTCCGAGGAGTTATGGCGCTGTGGGTAGTCCTAGGTAGTGAGGATCGTTGCATTTGCGGCGATCGATGGATTTTCTTGAGTGCGTGGCATCTTGCATCTACGATGGGCGTTTGGGATCATGGCCTATAGCCTATACATATTAGCTTACGAAATGATCATTATCCTTACCATAACAATTCTACTCCAAAAGTGACTTGCAAAACAATCACCGAGCTAACACGAAGCCAGTGCTCAGATAGATGGTAGAGAACAATAGCTGTAATGTAGTAATACGCAGTTGATCTTCCGCTGTTTCATAAAGGGTCCTATCTATCTACGATTGTCCAAAGAAAGCAACCAAGTCTAACCCGCCTCTGACTCTGGCAAAAGGGAAAAAAGCACCAAAACGCCGAGCTCGACTAGCAACAAGAACATGTGACCAGACCGAAAACCCGAAGAGCCGCCCTACTGCTGCGAGGTATCACACCCTTATACAAAACGTGACGAGTAATCGTACAGAAGAAGCCGGGAGGTGTGTGTGTGTGGTGTACATAGGCAACGCCGTGATTAGCGCTTGCCCTTCAGGAAGTCGAACTTTTAGGGAATCTCTAGAAAAGGATGGGGAGGGAGTAACGCCATTTGGAGGAAAAGGCGTTTAGACACGCGAGACATCGCGACCGAAGCACTTGGCCTTGGCCCAGTCGAGCATGACCAATATCCTGTTGCGGGTGCTGAAGCACATGCTGAGGTAGGCGGAGCGCCAGAAGATGTAGGTGATGGTACCGCCGGAAGCGATGTTGCCGGAGAACCACGAGATGTCGGCAACGGCCTTCTCGGAACCAATGTAGGCGAGCGAACCCTGGTGAGAGTACTCGAAGGGACCGATGGATTTGATCCTCCTCAGCCTCTGCTGCAGAGCCTTGATCTCGCCGAAGACCTTGTCACGGGCCTCCTTGCCGGGTGCCGTCTCCTGGGCGACGGAGAGCTCAGCAAGCTCACCCTCAATCTCGGAGGTCTTGGCCATGTTGTTGAACATGCGGGCGAGGAAAGCACCCTCCTGAGCAGCGACCTGGGCAGTGGGGGCGTAGTTGGCAACAGCGCAGTCACCGACGGCCCAGACGTTCTCAGTACCCTTGACGACGAGGTACTCGTTTACGGCAAGACCGCGGCGGGAGTCCTTCTGTGCGGGGATCTGGTTGATGAGGTCCTTGACGATGGGTCGAAGAGCGTTACCAGTGGCCCAGACGAGAAGACCGTAGGGGATCTTCTCGAGCTGCTTCTTGCCATCGGGGCCAGTCGACTCAGCCTCGATGAACTTGGGTGTGACGTTCTTGACCATGGTCTTTGTGCGGATGGTGATGGTCTCCTCCTTGAAGGTCTTCTCGGTGTAGTCGATGAGCTGCTTGGAGAACATGGGGAGGACGTTGGGGAGGGCCTCGACGAGGGTGACGTGGAAGTTATCCTGGATCTCGGGAAGCCACTTCTTCAGATCGGAGTGGAAGAAGTCCTGAAGTTCACCAGCGAACTCGACACCGGTAGGTCCACCTCCGACAACGACCATGTGCAGCAGGCGCTTCTTCTCCTCGTCAGACTGGTCCTTGAAGGTAGCAGTCTCGCAGCAGTCCATAATGCGGTTTCGGATGCGCTGGGCGTCGCCGACCTCCTTCAGGAAGAGACCGTTTTCCTTAACACCGGGAATACCTATTCCATATTAGCTGAGTTCGGGTGGGAATGGGCGGATGACGCACCGAAAGTGGCGTTCTCAGCACCAACACCAACGACGAGCATGTCAAAGGGCACCTCGGTCTGGGAGACGTCGCCCTTGATGTCGGAGTCGTCGCTGATGTAGACGACCTTCTTCTCGTAGTCGATCTTGGTGGCCTCGGCTTCGTAGTATTTGACCTGGGCCTTCTTGTGGCGCAAGAAGTTGCGGATGGGCTCCATGATGGAGCGGTGCTCGATGGTGCCGACAGTGCATGAGGGCAGGAGGGGGGTGAAGAGGAAGTAGTTGCGCGGGGAGACGACGATGACATTGTAGTTTTCCGTGTCGAGCTTCTTCAGCAGGGAGACGGAGCCCCAGCCGGTACCTGTCGCGTGTCAGATGCATCCTGTGTGTGCTGAGTCATCCGTCGCTACTCACCGAGGACGACGAGCGTCTTCTTGCTTGGGTCAGGCGGCGGCTGGTCGGCGGGGTTGCGAGTCTCGTAGATGCCGTATCCGACGTATCCCAGACCGGCGATGGCGGAGAGGTACGTGAGGCGCCAGGTCCAGCGCAGGAGGCGGAACCGCTTGGCCTTGGGCTTGGGCGCGCTGCTCGACTGCTGGCGGACAGACTGGCGGAGGGCAATCTGGTACTGCGTGGGCCGCGGCGTCCAGCGCGCTCTGTTGGCGATAAGCGACGGGCGCTGGGTGGTGAAGGTCCTGCGTCCAGCCAGCTGAACCTGCGAGAGCACATTGGCAGCGGCGAGCGGCCTCATGTTGGGTGCCATTGCAATGGTGGAAGCTGCGGGAGAGCTTCACGGAGTCAATGGCTGGGTGCGGGTGGTAGGGAGGCGAGCGAAGGGATGGTGAGGATGTCTCGTCGGTGCGCGGGAGTCAACTTTTTCTTAGCGATGACGAACACCCACCCTACCAAGACGCCTCGCAGGGGTCTTTGCTTCTGCGCCGAAAGATAAGCCTTGTTCCAATTAAAGCCCGCCCTGCCTGCCCTGCCCGCGCCCACACGCGAATTATTTCGAGCGCCAGGACAGCTACCATTAGTTCTCGAGGCCGATCACCCGCTACTCCCACGCTTTCGTTGGGATTGTGCTGATGCTCTTGTGGCTGCACCCAAACCTTCACCTCCACGTCCAGTCATACACATCATCACATAGAGTACAAAATGCCTCATTGCATTCTCAATCCCTTTCGCCCCCCATTGTTCAGCTCAACAAGTTATGCCTCGCCATTCCTCGGCTCGGCACCGACTCCGGTGGCCAGCCATGGGCATGCAGTTTTGCAGTGAGCACCCGCATCCGGTATCGCGGAGGCACACATGGTGGCTTCAAGTGCCTTTTAGCCGAGCCGCATGTCCCTGAGCCTCAGCGACCTGCATACTGGACTCGTAGACCGACGGGATTCCTGGTTTTGCGGACCCGCCTGCCCAGGGTTGTGGTAAATAGTCATCATCCTACATCGCCCGAAACGACACGCGCCACCCGCGCACCCTATGGATGACTCAAATACAGGATCTGGCAGGATGTGAAACGAGGGATATCTAAATTCGTGTCTTGATGTTTGCCATCTCAATGCTGGACATGACTATCCGTTCCTGCCCTACGAAATGCTGAGTGCTACCTACGCTGCTTGTGGACTTGGCAGACGCTACTCGGCCAGCATGATGCTTCCCTGAATTCATCTTGAGATTCTAGTGCTCCGTTACACATACACATAGTATGCACTTAGCTGCATGCTCTAATCGATTTCGCTAATAGGTCATACCTGCCTTGCTCAACAGGTGCGCTCTTGTAAGCATACAACAAAATGAGACCCTCACTACATTCTGTAACAAAACATGTTGTCAATATGTAGCGTGGGACCGAAAGAATGTCATTCTGGATCGCGAACAGTAAGCTCAATTTACAAGAGACAATCTTGGAATGATGATGACATGCATTCACCCCGCTCCTTTGCTTATCGATAGACATTCCCCTCACCTAGTAGTCCACTGCACAACAGTACAACGATACGCATCTCTCCAAACTTTCCAGTACTCAGGAGCTACCCGTGAATCTAATACCATTTCTGTATCCAAACACAGAAATCTACGTAAACCATGCCTCACGCAACAGCAACCGTAAACGGCATCCTAGTAGCCGAGACCGACTCGTACGAAGTCGTTGACGGAAACATCTACGTAACCTACCCTTCCCCTTTCTTGCCCATCATAAGCCCCTTCAATCCATCTGATCCATTCCAGTTCCCACCCGACACCATCAAGAGCAACCACTTCAGTCCCACTTCAACTAAGACGCACTGTCCATACAAGGGAGATGCAAGCTACTACACCGTCACAGCCAACAAGACGGAAGTAAAAGATGCAGCGTGGTACTATCCGGAGCCATTGGAAAGCATGAACAAGATCAAGGGGTATGTTGCTTTCTACAAGGGAAAAGCTGAGGTGAAGAGTGAGTAGAGGGAACAAGAAGAGATATAGGATCATGGGGTTACGTGTGGATATGGGTATATTCAGTATCAATTGAACTCCCAAGGAACACAATGCAAATGTTCCTGTCTAGTAACGCCGATAAAATGCTCATCATCATAAGGTCTGGGCTTGACATTTCCGAGATCATGCATCAACAGCCATCATCATCGTGTCATCGCCATCGATGCCTACAGCCGGAGGCTCGATCATGACACCCCGTCCTCTTCCTTGAAGCAACTCCCTTCGTACCTCCGCGCTAATGCTCCTGTGACCTCTTGTGAGCAGCAAGTCGAGCAGCGCCTCTCGTTGGTCCTCGGTGATGTCGTTCCTGTATCTTTGCGCAAAGGCAAGCAAGCACTGATGCCAGATGACGGGCAGTTTGCCTGTGTTGCCGAGGTCGCCTGCTACAGACTCCGTGTCCATGGCGTCGGCACTGCTGGCGCCCACGCCGCGGAAGCGTAGGAAGTGGAAGACGAGTGCGTCGATGACCTTGAAGGGGAGGGCGTACTTCTTCTCAAGCAGGGTCTTGATAAAGATGTTGCAGGGGCCGGCGGCATCGGGGTCGGATGACATCTGCTCGGCGGCGATCTCACACAGACGGTGGAGGGCGGCTGCGGAGTGTAGGACGGGAACAGAGACCTTGGCTACAACGGATGCTACAATCGTGGCGTCGCGCTGTGTGCAGGTGACGTCCGTAAGCATGGGGAAAACGACACCCTTGAAGAAGGCGCTGGGCTTGTAGAGGGCCTTCTTCAGCGCATTGTACAGATGCACGTTCAGCTTGTGCGTCTCTCGGATGTTCTGTTGTACCAAAGGTAGCAGTATGGTGTTGAGGAAGGTCTGCGCCGTTCGTGGGTCTCTGGAGATGAAGAT